TGCTTACAAGCCCCGCTGAGGCTGGAAGTCTGCAAACCCGTTCGGGAACCAACAACGGAGCATTCGGGACTTTTAGTGCTGCAATTGTATTCGGTGTGCAAGTACCCAGATAGCCTGCCATGGAGCCTGTTCGTGGAATTAAAGACTTTGGCTCCATGGCGATTAAACTGTATTCGTGTGGTCTGAGCGCCATTCGCTTAATAATGTGCGCTCAGACCTGAGCTATCTGGGGATATGTTAGATGTATAGTTTTAATGTAATGTGTCTTACCTGGTGTATTTTAACAGTAATGCTTGTTTTAGTATCCCCACGTGCATAATGGCGATTTGCCTTTTTTTTGGGAGATAATTGAATTACTTCTCAATTATCTCCCAGGGCAGAGGGGAGGAAGCCAGGATGCATTGTGGGAATATATTGTGACTGTGTGTCCTATTTGTCTGCTTGTCTGTCCCTTGTCACAGTCTCCCATTTGGTCCCCTAGGGGAGTGTCCACCAGGTGGGAGACCTGCATAAATACTGGGCAGGTAGCCCTCATTAAACAGACCACTGATTGACCCTCAAAATGGAGCCTTGTCTCGTCTTTGGGGGGATTTACTGAATGCTGATAGAGACTGATTGCTAGGAGTGTAAGCCGCTTGGATGCTTTTCCTATTCGTCTGTTAGAGTGATTCGTATGGTTCCAGTTCGTGTGTTTGAAGTGTTATATTGGATACCGTTCGGGAGTTTGGAGCATTCAGTTATTGGCGGTTCGTGTGTTTGGTGTTCTGCAGTAGCTGTGCCTGCATCTCTGGAAAGGGGGCCGATCGCCTAAACGGTTTTTTCCCTTTTTGTGCAAAACGGTCCATTACAATTACTCTAAGGTTTATTGTTGTGGAGCTCTGGGTTACAATCGTATACTGTGTACATTACTATAAGGTTTATTGTTGTGGAGCTCTGGGTTATAATCTTATACTGTGTACATTACTATAAGGTTTATTGTTGTGGAGCTCTGGGTTACAGTGATATACTGTGTCTATTACTATGAGGTTTATTGTTGTGGAGCTCTGGGTTATAATCTTATACAGTAAAGAACAGCTGGTACCCTAAAAGGTAAATCAGCCGAATGTGTGTCCGGGGCAACCTGACTTGGAGGATAACCCTCACATACGTATTAATAGAAAGAAAAAGGAAGACCATGGGGAAAAGGAAAGGAGGGGGGAGAAAAACACACACCCCCTGCCCTGATCCACAAGGTCAACCAACTAGGAAGCCCCTACCTAGAATAAATGCTAAAACTTAACCTTTAATCAAGAAAAATAAAAAAGTGTCATACATATAAAAATAAAATAAAATGGAAAAGGAGGAAGCAAATCGAAAAGTGGGGTATGAACTGAATCCACTAGAATCACCTAATGGTAATAAGTGATCGGCTGAAATAGCATTTGAACATACCCTTGTCCAGGCTAATAAATAAGGGGGCTGGAGTAAGCAATGGGGTAAAAGAAAGGGAGGATTGTATAATTGAAACAACCCCCTATAAGAGCTTGCAGTACAGGCAACAGTCAGACTATAAATCTCTGTGTTTTTCTCCCCCCTCCTTTCCTTTTTCCCATGGTCTTCCTTGTTATAATCTTATACTGTGTACATTACTATAAGGTTTATTGTTGCGGAGCTCTGGGTTATAATCTTATACTGTGCACATTACTATAAGGTTTATTGTTGTGGAGCTCTGGGTTATAATCTTATACTGTGCACATTACTATAAGGTTTATTGTTGCGGAGCTCTGGGTTATAATCTTATACTGTGCACATTACTATAAGGTTTATTGTTGTGGAGCTCTGGGTTATAATCTTATACTGTGCACATTACTATAAGGTTTATTGTTGCGGAGCTCTGGGTTATAATCTTATACTGTGCACATTACTATAAGGTTTATTGTTGTGGAGCTCTGGGTTATAATCTTATACTGTGTACATTACTATAAAGTTTATTGTTGTGGAGCTCTGGGTTATAATCTTATATTGTGCACATTACTATAAGGTTTATTGTTGTGGGGCTCTGGGTTATAATCTTATACTGTGCACATTACTATAAGGCTTATTGTTGTGGAGCTCTGAGTTATAATCTTATACTGTGCACATTACTATAAGGTTTATTGTTGCGGAGCTCTGGGTTATAATCTTATACTGTGCACATTACTATAATGTTTATTGTTGTGGGGCTCTGGGTTATAATCTTATACTGTGCACATTACTATAAGGTTTATTGTTGTGGAGCTCTAGGTTATAATCGTATACTGTGTACATTACTATAAGGTTTATTGTTGTGGAGCTCTGGGTTACAATATTATACTGTGTACATTACTATAAGGTTTATTGTTGTGGAGCTCTGGGTTATAATCTTATACTGTGTACATTACTATAAGGTTTATTGTTGTGGAGCTCTGGGTTATAATCTTATATTGTGCACATTACTATAAGGTTTATTGTTGTGGAGCTCTGGGTTATAATCTTATACTGTGTACATTACTATAAGGTTTATTGTTGTGGAGCTCTAGGTTATAATCTTATACTGTGCACATTACTATAAGGTTTATTGTTGTGGGGCTCTGGGTTATAATCTTATACTGTGCACATTACTATAAGGCTTATTGTTGTGGAGCTCTGAGTTATAATCTTATACTGTGCACATTACTATAAGGTTTATTGTTGCGGAGCTCTGGGTTATAATCTTATACTGTGTACATTACTGTAAGGTTTATTGTTGTGGGGCTCTGGGTTATAATCTTATACTGTGCACATTACTATAAGGTTTATTGTTGTGGAGCTCTGGGTTATAATCTTATACTGTGTACATTACTATAAGGTTTATTGTTGTGGAGCTCTGGGTTATAATCTTATATTGTGCACATTACTATAAGGTTTATTGTTGTGGAGCTCTGGGTTATAATCTTATACTGTGTACATTACTATAAGGTTTATTGTTGTGGAGCTCTAGGTTATAATCTTATACTGTGCACATTACTATAAGGTTTATTGTTGTGGGGCTCTGGGTTATAATCTTATACTGTGCACATTACTATAAGGCTTATTGTTGTGGAGCTCTGAGTTATAATCTTATACTGTGCACATTACTATAAGGTTTATTGTTGCGGAGCTCTGGGTTATAATCTTATACTGTGCACATTACTATAATGTTTATTGTTGTGGGGCTCTGGGTTATAATCTTATACTGTGCACATTACTATAAGGTTTATTGTTGTGGAGCTCTAGGTTATAATCATATACTGTGTACATTACTATAAGGTTTATTGTTGTGGAGCTCTGGGTTACAATATTATACTGTGCACATTACTATAAGGTTTATTGTTGTGGAGCTCTGGGTTATAATCTTATACTGTGTACATTACTATAAGGTTTATTGTTGCGGAGCTCTGGGTTATAATCTTATATTGTGCACATTACTATAAGGTTTATTGTTGTGGAGCTCTGGGTTATAATCTTATACTGTGCACATTACTATAATGTTTATTGTTGTGGGGCTCTGGGTTATAATCTTATACTGTGTACATTACTATAAGGTTTATTGTTGTGGAGCTCTGGGTTATAATCTTATACTGTGTACATTACTATAAGGTTTATTGTTGCGGAGCTCTGGGTTATAATCTTATATTGTGCACATTACTATAAGGTTTATTGTTGCGGAGCTCTGGGTTATAATCTTATATTGTGCACATTACTATAAGGTTTATTGTTGTGGGGCTCTGGGTTATAATCTTATACTGTGCACATTACTATAAGGTTTATTGTTGTGGAGCTCTAGGTTATAATCTTATACTGTGCACATTACTATAAGGTTTATTGTTGCGGAGCTCTGGGTTATAATCTTATACTGTGCACATTACTATAAGGTTTATTGTTGTGGAGCTCTAGGTTATAATCTTATACTGTGCACATTACTATAAGGTTTATTGTTGCGGAGCTCTGGGTTATAATCTTATATTGTGCACATTACTATAAGGTTTATTGTTGCGGAGCTCTGGGTTATAATCTTATACTGTTTACATTACTATAGGTTTATTGTTGTGGAGCTCTAGGTTATAATCTTATACTGTGCACATTACTATAAGGTTTATTGTTGCGGAGCTCTGGGTTATAATCTTATACTGTGCACATTACTATAAGGTTTATTGTTGTGGAGCTCTAGGTTATAATCTTATACTGTGCACATTATTATAAGGTTTATTGTTGCGGAGCTCTGGGTTATAATCTTATACTGTTTACATTACTATAGGTTTATTGTTGTGGAGCTCTAGGTTATAATCTTATACTGTGCACATTACTATAAGGTTTATTGTTGCGGAGCTCTGGGTTATAATCTTATACTGTGCACATTACTATAAGGTTTATTGTTGCGGAGCTCTGGGTTATAATCTTATACTGTGCACATTACTATAAGGTTTATTTAGAATACCAGGTTTCAATCCTTATACTGTGCACATTACACTATAAAGGTTTATTGTTGTGGAGCTCTAGGTTACTGTAATCTTATACTGTGCACATTACTATAAGGTTTATTGTTGTGGAGCTCTAGGTTATAATCTTATACTGTGCACATTATTATAAGGTTTATTGTTGTGGAGCTCTGGGTTATAATCTTATACTGTGCACATTATTATAAGGTTTATTGTTGTGGAGCTCTGGGTTATAATCTTATACTGTGCACATTACTATAAGGTTTATTGTTGTGGAGCTCTAGGTTATAATCTTATACTGTGCACATTACCATAAGGTTTATTGTTGTGGAGCTCTGGGTTATAATCTTATACTGTGCACATTACTATAAGGTTTATTGTTGTGGAGCTCTGGGTTATAATCTTATACTGTGCACATTACTATAAGGTTTATTGTTGTGGAGTTTACATATAACTGAGTTTAAAGTTGAAATAAAGCCAGACATAGTCTAATACAGGTGAAGCTGTAAGAGCATCATGCTATAGAGAATAATAGTTTGCCCGGCTCTAATATGGCGTCGGATCATTAGTGCCCATGGTGGCGCGGATTTATGACGTACACCAGCCCTGAGGTGTTGCCGCATGGAGCTGTTCGCTGAGCTGATTGCTCGAGATGACACCAGGCGCCCATTCCGGGTCAGCTGTGAGCGGAGCTTGCCCGGGTTATTGAGGGGCCTGGAGCAGCTGAAGGAGGCCGTGTCTGCCGAGCTGTCAGAGCTGGTCCTGCTGGAGAAGGGAGACAAAACATCGGCCAACTGCGAGCAGGAGTCTGCAGGTCAGACACGGGCAAATAAAGGGACAGTAAAGACGCCGTATACTGGCTGGGTAATACTGGAGTATGGTTACTCTGTGAGATTGGGGGAGGTGGAGGGTAAGAGGTCAGTGTGAGTTGGGCATGAGTAATACCTAGGGCAGGGTTTGGCATCCTTTGGCACTCCAGATGTTGTGGACTACATCACCCATATTGCTCTTACAGTCATAATGCTAGCAAAGCATCAGGGGATATGTAGTCCGCAACATCTGGAGTGTCGAAGGTTGCCCAGTTTGACAATATCTGGAGTGTCGAAGGTTACCTAGTTTTGAGTTGGGCAGGGGTAATACCTGGGAACGGAATAGGCAACCTTTGGCACTGATGTTGTGGATTACATCTCCCCTTATGCCAGGGGTCCTCAATCTCCGGCCCCCCAGATGCTAAACTACAACTCCCATGATTCTCTGGCTATCTATGTTATTCAAAGAATCATGGGACTTGTAGTTTAGCAACATCTGGGGGGCCGGAGTTTGAGTAAGGGGTATATAAGAAGTGGGTAAAGAAATGACCAGATGAGAAAGATTGAAAACCTCTTAGCAACTAACAATGACTTCCTACCTCCTAAGTCAGGGGCACTCCAGATGTTGTAGACTACATCTCCCATAATGCTCTCATTATGGGAGATGTAGTCTGCAACATCTGGAGTGCCCCTGACTTAGGAGGTAGGAAGTCATTGTTAGTTGCTAAGAGGTTTTCAATCTTTTTCTCATCTGGTCATTTCTTTACCCACTTCTTACATATAAAATATATATATATATATATATATATATATATATATATATATATATATATATATATATATATAATTACTTTTTCCACTTTAATTTATTTCTCACTTGTACCTTCCTTTGTCTTAGAGTTGTACCTCTGCTCCTAGTGATCAGCACTGCTTATGTAACATCAGTACATTGCCGTATTATTACTACCGGAGCTGTCCACAGCCACAGAACTATGCTGAAGCCTAGGAGCACAGGCATGGCTACATAAGGATGTGAGCTGGGCTCTGGTTTAGGAACCAGAAAGTGTACATCGTAAAAATGCCATCCGATTGGGTTGGAGGCAGCAGAGAATATAAAATTGGACCCAGACATTATTTTCTAAATGGGAAAGCTTGCTGTGAAGATTAAGAAGAACTGTAGATGGGAAAGCACAAGTTTGCTAAATATCTAGAGTGTGTGGATTGAATAAGCACATCATATTTAGAAATGTTAAAATGTTGAGGATGAGTAAAAGTCTATTTTTTTTTTCTTTTTCTCAATGGCCTTACAGCAGAAATAGTTTCAATACATTCTGTAAACAGGGAGCGCAAACTCTGTTTTCCCCTTAGTCGTTGATAGCCTTCAACTCCCAGGATTCTTTAAATGCAGTAGAGAATCATGGGAGTTATAGTTCTGCCACATTGGAGGGGCACGTGGTGGGTTGAGATCCCTGTTCAAAAGGAAGTAAATTGTATACACTAAACAGTGTTCATAAGGTTTCTGAAGAGTTTAAATATTTTAGTTTTTAAGCCAGTGGAATTATTCCTATTTGTTCTCAAAATCCATTTTTATTTTGTTTAGATGAAGAAGATGATAATGATGATGATGATGATGAAGAAGAAGAGGATGAAATAGAGAATAAAACCTCACCTAATGGTCCACCAGCAAAACGGACAAAGACTCGGCAACAATGAAATTCTGTATGCTATTGTGATATGAAAATAAACTAAACATCCTTTTTATACAAATAAATCTCAGGAATAGTAATTGGATTTTATACCCAGGTGGTGGACAGAATCTTAACAATGTCTATCAATCTCTTAATATCAAGGACCTGAGCATCAGAACCGTTTCAGCAACTCTTCAAATAATGCCATGTAAGTCCTCAACTTTTTTGTAGTCCAGTTCTTGAAGGGATGAGGGGTAACAATTTGCATTTCAGGTCTCATACAAGGTCGGTTTTGTTGACAACTGGTGATTGGGAAGGCTCAATGTTCAAGGAACCATTGTAAAATTTGTTTAGCAGTGCGTATGGAGATATGATCAGCCTGGAATATGGGAACATCTTGAAGGAGCAATGTGTGCATCATAGGGTACACAAGGTTTTTATTAAAGGAAAAGTATGGCATTAGGAATTAAAACCTTTATCTCTAATCCTATAGTGTGCCCTGTCCCTACTTTTTTAGGTTCCCCTCCCCCACCACCTATCTTGAATGGGTTTAATACCTTTTTCTTTTTCACTTAACTCTTTTTAGCGAAGAGGCCCCTTGGTAATAGCTAGATCTTCTCATCCTGTGCACACATTAGTGCTTTTGAATCTGCAATGTTTTGCATTGCACCAGACAAGTTCAGTGAGATGAAATGGTGTTGGGTGCCTTTAGTCCCTCTGTAAGTGATCTCTTTATCACTATATAGAGCAATTATCAGACCTAATTGCTTCCTTGAGATGGCCACCTGTTATATTAAAGGAACACTGTAGGCACTGTCACAACTTAATGGAACACTATAGTCACCTAAAGTTGATTGGACCTTGCACGGCTCCCATTACGTCATGAGGGTCGCAGAAAGCTAAGAACAACGCCTGGCACTGGATTTCAGGTAAGTTAATCCTGCGAGAGACTACACCTGTGAAGTCGGGTCATGGCAGCTGAAGCGCCCGGAAGAGAATGGCAGCGCCCGCAAGGGATGGATCCAGGTAGAACCCACCTAGGCCTGCTGCCACTGGAACTCCAGCATTGTAACTGTTGGGTATCTTTGCAAATTATGCTAAGACCCAAGACGGTGACAGGTCCATTTTAAACTTGTTACACCCCCATTGGGAAAGATAAGTTATAAATTGCATAATCATTTAATAATTATTCCTCTCTTCCGTGCGGTATTGGCTGCTGTGATCCTGCTTTAGGGTAGTACGTAAACACCCACCTATTTCCTTTCATAGCCTATTTGATTGACCCTGCCTGCGCAGCACGGCAGTGTTTACCATAGGAGCTAACAGTTTGTTGCCAGCGTATCTGTGGACACAGTGATTTGGATAGAATTGATATTTCTGATGGAATAGTGTCACTTGTGCATTAACCATCTTGACAGCTGTAGACTGGAATCCTGGTACCTAGGGGACTCTTGATTTATGTAAAACATTGGCGTAGAAAGCCAAAGGCTCCAATAAAGGGGTTTACTCTCACTTTTCAGCTCTAAGCTTGGTTCATTGATGTGTTCATGAATGAAGCTGCTCAACGCTAGTATGTAATTTTTATTTTATTTTTTAGAAAATGTGTTCTTGTAGTTGAGGGTGTAGATCATGTTGTATGACTTTCTGTGGCTTCATTATGTAACAAAAAGATTGTGGGAAGATAAAACATAGGATAAAACATAAACAAACAGTTCAATTAGAAATATTACTGATATGTATCACCTGCATATCTCCAGTTGGACTTTAAGAAGTCCTCATTGTGCACAGAAACCTAAGAAATCATGATTCCAAAATGATCCCAGAGTTCCAAGTTTGACATGCAAATGAGCACAGCCAGGCATTGTGTTTTAGATGCAGTGGGGTGCAATGCCCAGCTAAGAAGACAAACGTCTTACAGTGGGGGGTGCAGTAGAGATGGGGAGCGACCCCCTGATAAAAAGACAAAGCGTAAAATAATTTGATTTACAAGAGAGGTGCCACAACATTTGACACCACAATAGGGATCAACCGATATTGATTTTTTTTTAAAAAATTTTTTTTTTAACAGATACCTTTTAGGCTGTGAACTTTCAGGCAGATAGCTGATAATGTACCGATAGTGTACATTTGCCGTTTTGAAAATGTAAGCTATTTCTACACAAATCTACTGTTAACTGACATGTTTATTTTTTTTGCACCCCTTTTTTTTGTTAAGGTAAATGCACAAAATATACATGCCAGTCATGTAGGGATCGACCGATTATTGGTCTGGACGATATTCAGAATTTTCAGCAATATCGGTATAGGCCGATACCGATATTGCTGAAAATTCTGAATATCGGCCAGACCGATAATCAGTTGATCCCTACACCATAACAACTACAACACTGTTGTGGTTATGATGTTTGGAGTGTTGCTTTAAATCAACACGTACATTAGTGATAATTAGTGACATTTTCTTTATTAGCAATAAGTGTCCTAATTTACACCTTCTCTTACCCATATCCTGTATGTAAACCTGAACATCACCCCTTTATTCCATTAATAATTTGTAATATTCCAAACTATGACATTCCGTAGTCAAGCTTATGTACTTCTTATTCATTTATGGGAGTGGTCAAAGAACAATGTATTGACATTGCAAATGCCTAATATGGTAGAACAGGTAAGGCTTGTTCTACTAAAACTCTTTGCAAGAAAGTGTGTGTACTTATCAAGGACTAGATATGACTACTCGTAGATTAAACATAGTAAAATCAATAAAAATGCTAAAATTGTATTGATATCCTTTCTGCATTTTTAGATAAAACAGATGATACGACGATATCTGTAAATGTTAATTTATTTAATAGCAAAATTACATTCTATTCAGATTTGTGAAGGGTTAAATAAAGTAGCAGTTTAACACTTGTCCTTTGACCCAAGGAATGAGACCAATCAATTACATGAAACAATTATTCCTTTAACTTGGCTGAACTGTCTTTTGAACCCTCACAGGGTCATTCACTAAATTAAGAAGTCAAAGTGTAGTTCAAATTTAAGGCCAAAGTAGTCGATACTGAAAACATAGCGGAGTTTGATTTATTTCCCCCCCAAAAGTTTTAGATTCACTTTGAAGTCTCACTCTAGTGCAAAACCATGTCAGTGTGAGTAGTTTGTGTTAACCAGACAGGGTTATTTAGTGAAAGGAGAGTTGCCAGGAATTCAATATGAATCTTAAAATTAGCTGAACTGGAACTATAAATGAACTTGGAGAATGTTTCCAATTCGGCTATTTTGGCCTCAAATTTGAAATTCGCTTTAAATTCCAGACAGCCCTCCCTTTAGTAAATAAACGCAAAAAGAAATTTCTGACCTGTCTTACTTGATGCCTTTTGGTTTGCGGAGCAAGATGGTAGATGTAGTAGTTCTGCAGGTAAAAGGTTACCATTTTTTTTTGGTAGCCAAGTGATTGCCATATATGCTTTACCTAGAAAACTGTTTTTAAGTGGGTGAGGTCATCTGTGCTCATCAAAAAGAAACACTTCAGTCACCATAACAGCCTGCTGTAGTAGTTATGGTGGCAGAATGTTCCTAAAATCATTCCAAAGTAACTAGTTAAATTTATACAGTTTGATAACTTACTGGTGGCTTACTTGACAGCCATTGCCGCCTCTCCAGGAGTAGGAAGCTTCTGCAGGGCCAGCTTATTGGCAGAGAGTGTTGGGTAAACAGATCTTAAATATTTTCAACTCCTTACTGAGTGTGACATGGCAGGTGTTTACTAATAAAGCCATTACTTCTCTGGAGTAATATGTAAATACTGACTCCGAACGAGCGGATATTCCAGTTACCAAATTCCTGTAAAGTACATAATTACTGTAAAAAAAACAAAAGTGGTTCCCTTGTATATTACACAAGCTTAACTATTAACCAGTCTCAGTTTAAATGACTGATTCACTAGGTATAGCCCAAAGTAATATTTAAACTTCAGTTAGTGTAATTTCCATTTTTTTTTTACTGCTCTGTTGTGCTGATTGTACTTCCTGATGTATAACACTTTTTTTTGTTCAGCACAGATTGCAGTTATTTAATACTAGTACTTCTCACTTAGTGAATATGTCTATACTGACATGGTTATGCCTGTGGATTGGTAAATACAATGCTTTTTAATTTTTCTTCCCAATTTGGATATATGGGCCTAGATTTTCAATTCATTGGTAATACCCAGTCCCCCAAAAATTAGTAAAGGGACAAAAATATTTAGCTTAATCAAATGGTAGTGGTGTATAGTGGTCTGGCAGCGTAACTACTAAATTCTGTTCCATGTAAGAAGTAAAGTAACACTTCAAACACAGTAACCATGTAGTGGTTATAGTGCCCTCCATTGTAAGTAGTCAAATAATTTTATAACGGTTTGACTGCTTAACTGGGGTCTATTGTGTGCTGCTCCCGACCTTATCTACTCTGCCAATCTGATGGTCTCTCTATCATATTGTGGAAACTTCTTTGTAGAGTTAAAAGGGGAGGGGGGGGAAGAGAAAAGAGAGATTGGTCTGGTTGCCTGTTGTGTACCTTTAAACCTCTGATCCTTTAGCTACACTCAGACAATGCCATGGATAAGAAAATTCTAAAGGACACAAAAAAATTGTTCCCACTGGTTACTTTTATTACTTGCCAAGCTGCTGCAGTTAGTTACAGTGATTAATTCTATAGGTACCCAAAAACTGTGGAAAACCAACACTCAAAGTCCATCATTCAAACACCATATTCCATTTACTGGCAGTAGTCTGGGAGACCTAGAACTAAACAGGATGTAACTAGCGAGTCAGACCATGGGACACATACAAAGACAAGACGCATGATTCAATTTGAATAAAACTTTGAAAATCTGGCACTTATTTACTGTAACATTACAATACGTTTAAAAGTGCAAAAACATGTTTTCCCATAATTTTTTTTTTTTTCTAGAGACACAATTATTTTAACCATATTCAGTGCAGTAAGATATACAATCTCGCCCCCCTGTCAACCACTACATAAACTATACCTAAACGCTTGTTACAGTGGCCGCAAGTAGGACAAAAACTGATTATTTTTGGTAGATTTTCAACCGTCCATAACCCCACTACCTGCTGGGATGAAATATTCTTTTGTGGCAATTTCTCCAGTAAGCAAGAGGATTAAGTTACAGTCACTTTGAGAACAATTTTTTAGATATTAAAATATTGCCAAAAATACAATGAAGATGACAGCTGCAGGGTGTTACAGAGATATAAAACAGATTGTCTAAATTAAGTCTTGCTTAATCCATATGTAACCCTTTAATGTCTGGGGGCTCTTACACCATTTGGGGGGGGGGGGAAGGCAAGGAATTGTCAATATGAAAAAAAGGTTGCTTTAATCCAAAATTTGGGGATTTGTTTTTTGCAAACTGCTTAGTGATTAATATTGAACTAGCCCTTCCAAAAAGCCAGTGGCAGATTTGGTTTCTTATGTAATAAATTCAATCAGTTATTACCGAGCCTCTCTCAATTATTCCTATTTTGAAAAGTTTTAGGATTTAGTTAATATGTAATTAATCAGTTAAGGCTTGCAGACATACATAGCACAGTGAGTTGAACCGTAGAATTCCCACAGCGCTGTATGGAGATCAGAATTCCTGGGATAACAGGAGAGAAAGGATCGGACACACTGCGGTCTTCACTGTCAAAATATGGTGATGACAGACAGCTATGCATTGCATTAGACTCCAGCAGCAAAAGAGCCAAGGGAAAAACAAATGTGTTGGTGTACAACAAGCAGTTATGTGTTGTTAAGTATCTATCAATTGCAATCTGCTGATCTGATTTGAGGCTTTGACCAGCGACTGGTGTCGGTTGCAGATCACTGTCACACATATGGGAATGATGCAATATCCAACGGTCTTTGGGTCAGCCCTTGTGCAGGAGTATAGAAACAGGAAGACTTGAAGGTAGGGGATTAGGAAAAGGGTGGCCCACAGCCAGAAAGGTAAAGAAAGCAGGCGTGCTTTTAGGGACTGAGTCCAAGACATCCTGTTTACAGTCTCTTCTGGCTGGACCTGAACATGCTCCAAGGCAAGTCTATTGTAAGTATCATTCATTTCGAAGACATAGTAAAACACAGCAGCGCTCACAAACAGGTAGAGGCCAACACCGATCCAGCCCATCCTCTGGCGGAAATTCATCATTCTCCATGCTCCGTCCCTGTGCAAGTGCAGCGTGAAAAAAGAAAAAAAGTTTACTGGTTTCAAACGCTTAGAAAGGTATCAAACAAACACACAAATAATGTCTTGTCACATGTGGAAAAAATAGGCAAACAGTGACTTCCTGGAGATCACATGAGCAATGGGGACAGATGTCTAACAGTACGACTACAGCAATCTACAGCTAACCACACGGATCAACTCAAACAGCATATGTCTTGTGATTAGTTAAGTCATGTGATGGAAAAAGAAACCAAAAACACTTATCTAGATTTTATCAGATAGGAACAAGAAAAGTCTATATGGAACTCTACTGTCCTAGGCCAAATCGCAGTCTCAGAATTGAAAAGCAGTAACAGATTCTCTGATGTCCAAGCCAGTGCAGTATGTCTGATTTCCTGATAACTGGTTCATGGGGCTAGCTGATATTCATTTCAAGTACTATATATTAAAACACCAATACCAGCTTCTAAATACGGACACAAACATCCCTTCAAGAAAAAAACAAAAAAACATGGCCTGTACTTTCTTAAAGGGCTAACAAATGGCTACAGTACCAACCCGTCCTATGAAATCACCTATTTATATTTACAAAAAGAACAACCAATGATTGAAAGAACACTGCCAACAATAACAATCAATAAGGAGACACTATTTTCTTTACAAACAAACTTGAAACCATTCTTATGTGTTCCTTTACTCCTTATCCCCCTTCTTTTGTCCTTTACCCCCAGCCAATTATGCAGTGTTCCTTTCTTCCTTTGATTTCAGCCATAGGATTGGTAGAAATCTCAGGCTTTCCTTCACTGTCTCCTTATTAACCCACCTCCTAGTCTGTGTTCCAGCAATATTCTGCATTCCCTCCATCACCTGCTGGGTATTGTCTCTTCACTGTTGCTTTATTTTCCCATTGCCTTAATAACAATAGGGGTCACTCTCCCCTGCATTCTAGGGTGTCTCTCTCAATCTTCTCTCTCCAACAGTCCAGGGCAGGGGTGCCCAAAAGGTAAATCCCCAGATGTTGTAGAACTACAACTCCCACAGTGTTTTGTATGACAAAGCACAATGGAATCTGTAGTTTTAAAACATCTGGGAATCTAACTTTTGGGCACCCCTGGTCTAGGGTGTGTCTCTCTCTTCTATAGTCACAGTATAGAGTGTCTCTCTCCCCTAATGTAAGATCTCTCTTTCTCTCCTATAGTCACTGTCTAGGTTTCTCTCTCCTTTAGTCACAGTCTAGGTCTCTCTCTCCTATAGTCACAGTCTAGGTCTCTCACCTTTTCCCACAATGTAAGATCTCTCTTTCTCCCATACAGTCACTGTCTACGGTTCTCTCTCCTATAGTCACAGTATAGGGTCTCTCTCTCTCTACTACAGTCACAGTCTAGGTCTCTCCCCATCTCCCACAATGTAAGATCGATCTCTCTCTCTTTCTCCCCTATAGTCACTGTCTATGGTTCTCTCACCTACAGTCACAGTATAGGGTCTCTCTCTCTCTACTACAGTCTAGGTCTCTCCCCATCTCCCACAATGTAAGATCGATCTCTTTCTTTCTCCCCTATAGTCACTGTCTATGGTTCTCTCTCCTATAGTCACAGTATAGGGTCTCTCTCTCTCTCTCTACTACAGTCACAGTCTAGGTCTCTCCCCTTTTTCCCACAATGTAAGATCTTTCTCCCCTTCAGTCACTGTCTAGGGTTCTCTCTCCTATAGTCACAGTATAGCGTCTCTCCCCTTCTCCCACAATGTAAGATCGATCTCTCTTTCTTTCTCCCCTATAGTCACAGTATAGAGTCTCTCTCTACTACAGTCACAGTATAGGGTCTCTCTCTCTCTACTACAGTCACAGTCTAGGTCTTTCTCCCCTTCTCCCACAATGTAAGATCTCTCTTTCTCCCCCATAGTCACTGTCTAGGGTTCTCTCTCTCCTATAGTCACAGTATAGAGTGTCTCTCCCCTTCCCCCCACAATGTAAGATCTCTCTCGTGTACTCCTTCATTCTCTTTCCCTCAACCATCGGCTGGGGAGAGGGAGAGGGAGAGGGAGAGAGAGAGAGAGAGAGTGAGAGTGTGTGTGTCTCTCTCAAGCTGGGGTCGCTCTTCTCTGTGTTACTTCTTTCTCTTTCCCCAGGAACAATCTATTGTCCCTCTCCGGTCTCCCTCCCCTTTGTCCGGTTGTCTCCGGCCCTCCTTACCTATATCAGTGGAGCTCTGATGTGTCTCTCCAGGGCTTCCCTTTCATCAAGCTGCAGCCCTGTGACGCCTCTATCCAGTATCCATGCCTAAAGCAGGAAGTAAGCCTTCAGCGGCCATATTGGGTGTGGGCGGAAGTACTGCCTGTTACCCGGAAGTAAATAAGAAAAAAAAATTCATACACTATAAACAACCACCCCGTGCCCCCTTCCCCACACACTGCCCAAGTAGCCCCCATTATACTTCCCTTTATAAGTCACACCACAGTATCTTATATGAGACTATCCAAGTATCCTAGAACAGCCCAGCCTGGGCTTCTAATAAGTCACCCAGCTGCGTTGCTCTATTTACCCATTGCATGTTTAACCTGTCACCAAGTTTGCCCTTATTCAATATGGCTTCCAATGCCTCTTCCAATGACGTCATCCTACAGGAACCCTGAGGCGGTTAGTGTGACCAGCGAGTTGGACTCTTGGATAGAAGGTCCCTGGGGATCATTGTTGCCATCACAGGTAGAAGAGAGAACTACAACCCAACATTTGGTTTATTTCTGTGAGAAACTCCTAGCCAGTCACATTATACTGCCACTCTCTCTAGGGGAAGCTGTAAGTAGTGTTTGTTTTCTAATAAAGCACCCACAGGGATAACACTCAAAGGACAGGTGTTTTAAATGTCCACATCTGTTTTTATTCACAAGGGCGAGGGGGGATAACATTACTTTAATAACTATACTATATATATATATACTTTTATAATGATATTCCTGAGTAAAGTACACTTTAATTGGCGACAGCCATATTGTGACAGACCAACCAACTGCTTGGCCAGATACAAAGTGAAATATTCCACAAAAAAATATCAATGTGCATCATTTAAAAAAATTATCATAGAGCTTCATTAAACCCACAATGGAGGGACAAAACGGGTATGATGATATAAAAGGTCACTTCACTGAACTACTTACTCTGCCATGGGTATTTATAAAATTGGGTTAAGGCTTCCTCCCCAATAGACGAGTTAAGGGAACACTATAATTTTAGGAGTCAAATCTGTATTCCTAATGTCAGAGTATCCCTATCCCTGAGAGTGTTAGGTCCCCCTCGTTTGGCATTGAAAGGGTTAAAAACAACAACAACTTTCTACTTGCTTTGATAAGGGTGCCAATGCTCGCTGGTGGCTGCTCACATCTCCTCTCCAGGCGAGGTAGTGGAGGAGGCATGGTCTCCTCTGCAATGGTTCAATCTAATGCTACTCGTTGAGGAAAATTAGGGACTTAATGCACATGCGCGGTGAGTCAATGCTCTTCTAAAAAGCTTTCACATCACGCGGATGAGTTTTACTGCCAGTATGACAGCCACTTATGTAGGATTTAACCTTGCAATGTAAACATTGCAGTTTCTCAAAAAATGCAATGGATTACTTTGCAGGTTTAAGGAGACAGAAACACTGTAACCAGACAACTTAAGTTCCTTTAAACTCGGCTATATAAGATGGTCGCATAGAGACCATTTGATTGGCGCAGTGCAACTTTTTGCCATGCATGCGCTATAGCCTCCCAATGTTTACCTATGGGGAAACATTGAATTGCCCGAGATCGTCAACGAGGCCAAGTGGTGTCATGGAGACTGATGCAGTTGAGCCTGGAAGGTAAATAAATCTCACCTCACATAACGATGTGGGTGGGGAACAACGACACCAGAATAGGTAGATTAAAACTACAGCATTCTGAATATATGTGTGAAATCCTAACGCTATTATGTTCCTTTAAAAGGTTTTTATTTAATGCTGAACACCGAGCAGCAATTTAAAGAATAATTAACAGTGGGAATATGGTAGTTACTCTCCTAGGACCTAAAGCCTGCTGTTATAGTTTCAGCTTTGCATCATCTCTGAAAAATGTCCAAGTTTGTAGGCATCTTATTGTTCTGCTTTTGGTGGTACAGTTCCTTATTTAGCATCCTGTTCCACTGTTCTGATTTGGGTATCCCAGAGACCTGTCCTTGCAGCCCTAGGACAGCATTTGACAAATTTGCTTGGAATCTAGGAGCCACTTAAAGTTAGGAACCAGTTAAAAATTTTTTTTACAAAGTATTATTTTCAGTGAAAAAAATACAAATATACAGTTTAATGTAGTGGTTCTGGTGTCTATAGCCTGTACCTGCAGAGAAAAGGCAGTTTTTACATTGCTGCCTAGTAACACCTCTAGTGATGACCATTAGAGATGCTTCTGAGTCCAGTGCTGCACCATGTGCAGCACTTACATTATGTTACTCCACGTTATGCATGTTCTCCATAATGATGCATTGACTCAGAGCATCTCTATGATGAGATGTTGATTGGTGCAGCATGGCATTTGCTGCGCATGTGCAGTAACCTAAATGCTTTCTTATGGGAAAGTATTGGCTTGGTTGAAATCCCATGCAAGCCCCGCACAGCATGAGAAAAAAAGTGAGTACAAACACCTTTCCCATGTGATCTGAGGGGAACAAGTCACCTGAACAGACACACTCACTGGCAGACAGAAACTCACTTAGAAACACTTACTGACAGACCGACACATACTCAAGGACAGATAGACAGACACACATTCTCTCACACACTCACAAATGATACATTTTTAGAAATAAAACAATTATTATCAGGGCGGTCTTTAACACTGGGCAGCTGCCCCGAGCCCAGTTACACATGGGGACCCCAAAGCAGCTGCCCCGTGGGCCCCGCTGCCCTCCACTTTTAATTTATCTTCCCCACGGGCCGCTGATGCAATCAAGTGCCTGCACTCTTAAGGAGGCCCACCGGACGGCCCATGCACTAAGGGATACCCAGTGGGCATATGTAAGCAGGGGCCCTGGCTTTTCGGCATAATGGGAGGAAGTGACAGCCGCAAGTCACTTGCTCCCAAAAAGGAAAAGGGGAGCTGGGCCGAGAGAGACAAACCCCAACTCCCAGCAGCATAAGCCACCAGTGTGGACAGTGAGGAAACCACACTCCAAGGTAGGAAACTGGAGGATGTGTTTAAAAGTGCAAGTTTGTGTCAGTATGTCTATGTAAGTGTCTGTGTGTGTCAGTATGTATGCCAGTGTATGTGTCTGTCTATGTTAGTATGTCTGTCAGTGTGTGTGGGTCAGTATGTCTGTCAGTCTATGTGTCTGTGGTGGGTTAGTATGTCTGTCAGTGTTTGTGTCTATGTGTCTGTGTGTGTCAGTATGTCTGTCAGTGTATGTGTGCGTGTCACTATGTCTGTCAGTGTATGTGTCTGTCAGTGTGTTTATGTGAGCGTCAGTATGTCTGTCATTGTGCGTGTCACTATGTCTGACAGTATATATATGTGTGTGTATCTGTATGTTGACATTGTGTGTGTCTGTATCTGTATGTTGTCAGTATGTGTGTCTGAGTAACTACATGTGCGTCAGTGTTTGTATCTGTGTGTCTGTATCTGCATGTGTGTCATTGTGTGTCTCTGCAAGTGTTTTGGTGTATATCTGTGTGTGTGTACGGGTATCACAGTGTGTGTATGTTGCAGGGTATGTGTATATGTACAAATATCTCAACATTCAAATGTCAACACTACATATAAACACACTCCTGCATTGAAACGTCAACACTACACACAAACACAATTCTGTATTTTACACCAAAATTAACCCCTTAAGGACACATGACAGAAATATGCCGTCATGATTCCCTTTTATTCCAGAAGTTGTGTCCTTAAGGTGTTAAATATCAATATCAATACACCCCTGCATTCGAAAACAAACACTGCACCTAAATGCATACTTACATTCAAACGCCAGCACCACATACAAACACACCCCTACATTCACACAAACATTCTCCATACAAAAAACATGCTTACATTCAAACACACAAACACTGCTCGGTGCTAAACACAACCATGCAAGCATGGGAAAATGGTAGAGCCCCAGCTGTCAAAGCATTGTTAGAGTTGCACAACCTTTTGGCCATTCTTGCGGTAGGGGTGGATTCCCCCCAAAATCTTGCATTAGGGCACTACTTTAGTTCCTCCACTGCATTGGGGTGGATGGCATGACTGCATGCCTGGGAGTGGGAGGGTGCAAGGTCCATGGGGCCCACGAAAATGGTTGCCCAGGGTTCGGTCAATATTAAAGGCGGCCCTGGTTATTATTGGTATATTAAAACATATTTGATACATAAAAATCTTTGGTGCTTTTTATGTATCAAATATCCTTTTACTCTATTAATAATATAAGTGAAGTTTTACTTCTGGTTTTGTTTGTTCGTTCTTTAGTTATGGGTTATCCCCCATTTTTGCATCCAGTAACTTTGATCTAGCTCCACCTTCCTACTCCTAGTCTATAGATATCCTATTGCTTTGGACTTTTCTGCACGTCATGCACAGACTGCATCAAAATGCTAATAGCTGCCAGTCAGCGATCTGAGTTAGGTTCTGCCGAATCTGTGTTGGAATGAGTTTGGACTGTTATAATAGACTGTATTCACTGGCAGCAGCATGTTCCAATACTTGCAGCCTCTAACTGCATTCCATATTCATATAAATTTGGAAAGATCATGCAGATAATGGCCTTGGGAGCCAGGAGAGTCAAACCACTCAAAAACTGTTTTACCAAAGCCAAAGACTCTTTTTACATTTTAATTTCTAAAACAAGCGATGGTGGTTGTAGAACTTAGACTGGCCATTTAATATTCCTCCCCTGATCTTGCTAGTTGAATATAGGCACTAGTTTTCATTTGGGACGAGCATGATATGAACATGTTTAGCATTATCTTAAACTAAAACCATTTATTTTGTTAAATTAATGCAGGTAGGCTCCTGCAAAGAGTGTATGAAAATCACTTTGTGCAAATGGGACCCTTAAAGGGAACCTGAAGATCAGTGCATGGATTATTCTACCGTTTGAAACCCCAGGCAAGATAGGTGAGCTACAAAACACCATAACTAGAACTTAACATTAAATTTGTGTTTAAATATTGTGAGCACGTGTTGCATTTTAATTTATAGTTCATTCATCACAAGGCATTACTGTCTTTCCATTTTTACACTGTATTTAACATATTGAATCCCAGAGGGAAGAACAAAGCATTGCAGTCATGATTTTTTTGGTCCTATAAAATACCGGTAGAATTGTCTAGTTTTCTATAAGTACTCCTTCAGAATATGCCCAATTCTTCTTTCAGACAGTGGGGGGCAGTGCAAGCCCATAATCTAACAGACACACCTTTTCACTGTGTAAAAAGTTGTAGGAGATAGGAGCACTAGAGTGACAGTTTTCTGGAATTCAAAGCAAAGTTCAAATTTAAGACCAAAGCAGTTGGAAGCATAGCTGACTTGGATTATTTTTCCATTTCAGCTATATTGCCCTTAAATTTCAAATTAACTTTGAATTCCTGACAATTCTAACTTTGCTGATTGACCATTGGAAAGCATGGAAACAAGACCATATTTAGAGTGAGATTACAATAGCCAGAGCTATGCCCTGTCCTCACAAAATTATTTGGGGGTTCCACACGCCCATTGGAGTGGTCAGGGTGCCAACTCCCATCACCCTTAACCCTGCCAGTGTAATTATTGCAGTTTTTATAAACTGCAATAATTACCTTACAGTGTTAAAGGACCACTCTAGGCACCCAGACCACTTAAGCTTTATGAAGTGGTCTGGGTGCCAGGTCCATCTAGGGTTAACCCTGCTTGCTGTAAACATAGCAGTTTCAGAGAAACTGCTATGTTTATACTAGGGTTAATCCAGCCTTTAGTGGCTGTCTCATTGACAGCCGCTAGAGGCGCTTCTGCGCTTCTCACTGTGATTTTCACAGTGAGAAGACGCCAGCGTCCATAGGAAAGCATTGAGAAATGCTTTCCTATGGACTGACTGAATGCGCGCGCTATCAAAGGGACTAGAGGGACTTCTGGGTTCTTAAAACTCAAAAGGTGGTTTAAGCGACGCTGGACATCCTCACGCTATGCATGAGGACCTCCAGCGCCGGCAGAATCCCCATAAGAAAGCATTGAATAATACTTTCCTATGGGGAGGTCTAAAGCGTGCACACGGCCATTGCCGCGCATGCGCATTGTCTCCCATGTTGGCGGGGAGGAGCGTAGGCAGAGCCCGACCCAGCACCGAGGGACATCGGCGCTGGATCCCGGTAAGTCACTGAACGGTTTTTAACCCCTTTAGCAACATGGGCTGGGGGGTGGGAGGGAGAGGGGCACTGCAGGAACCTGCAGTGCCAGGAAAATGGATATGTTTTCCTGGCACTGGAGAGTCCCTTTAAGTACGTTTTATCTATTCCTTAAAGGCTTCTCTTTCTATCACCGGTCAACTCTAAATTACAGGGAGAGCAGGAGACACAAGGGAAGATGCAATTTGTTTGTGTCTTTCTCCCCCAAGCCCTTTTCATGTGTCTCTTAGCTCCAGTCCCTTTATTTCTCTCTCCCCTTCCCCAGCCCTTATGTTAGTCTCTTTCCCAGGCAGCAGCACCTCTGTGTGTGTCTCTCCCCACAGCTCCTATGTGTGTCTCATTCTCCCCTTCCCCGGTCCGTCTGTGTGTCTTTTGTTCGTCTTTCTTAACCCCCTGTCTCTTTCTCCCCAGACCCCTCTGTGTCTTTTTTTTTCTCCATACACTTTCCGTGTGTCTCATTACCCCCATCCCCTCCATGTGTCTCATTAACCCCCAGCCCCTCCATATGTCTTATTAGACCCCCAGCTCCTCCATGCATCTCATTATTACCCCCCATTTATCCCATTAGCTCTCTCTCAGCCTTGTATGTGTGTCAGTAGCCCCCCATGTGCCCCATTAGACCCCCCCGCCCTCCATGTGTCCCTATACCCCCTCCCAGCCATCCATGCATCCTGTTAGCCTCCTCCCAGCCCTGTATGTCTTATTAGCCCTCCCATATGTCTCAGCAGCATCCCCACATGTCCCATGAGTCCCCTCAAGTGTCCAATTAGCACCCAGCCCTTCATGTGTCCTATTAGCCCTCTTTCCCAGCCCTCCATGTGTCCCACTAGCCACCCCTCCCAGCCCTCCATGTGTCCCACTAGCCACCCCTCTCAGCCCTTCAAGTGTTCATATACCCAGTCCCAGCACCTCATGTGTCCCTATACCCTCCTCCCAGCCCTTTGTGCCCCTATACCCCCTCCCAGCCCTTCATGTGTTCCTATATCCCCCTCCATGCATCTCATTATTACCCCCCATTTATCCCATTAGCTCTCTCTCAGCCTTGTATGTGTGTCAGTAGCCCCCCATGTGCCCCATTAGACCCCCCCGCCCTCCATGTGTCCCTATACCCCCTCCCAGCTATCCATGCATCCTGTTAGCCTCCTCCCAGCCCTGTATGTCTTATTAGCCCTCCCATATGTCTCAGCAGCATCCCCACATGTCCCATGAGTCCCCTCAAGTGTCCAATTAGCACCCAGCCCTTCATGTGTCCTATTAGCCCTCTTTCCCAGCCCTCCATGTGTCCCACTAGCCACCCCTCCCAGCCCTCCATGTGTCCCACTAGCCACCCCTCCCAGCCCTCCATGTGTCCCACTAGCCACCCCTCTCAGCCCTTCATGTGTTCATATGCCCAGTCCCAGCACCTCATGTGTCCCTATACCCTCCTCCCAGCCCTTTGTGCCCCTATACCCCCTCCCAGCCCTTCATGTGTCCCTATATCCCCCTCCAGCCCTTTGTGTCCCTATACACCCTCCAAGCCCTCCATGTGTCCCTATAGCCCCCTCCCCATCCCCCATGGGTCCTTATAGCCCCTTCCAAAGCCCCCCCTTTGTCCCTATAGCCCTCTCCCCAGCCTCTATGTCCCATTATAGCCCCCATGTGTCCCTATATCCCCTCAGCCCTCATGTGTCCCATTATAACCCCCTCCTCAGCCCCCATGTGTCCCATTATAGCCCCCGTGTGTCCCATTAACGCCCCCTCCCCAGCCCCGATGTGTCCCTATAACCACCCAGCCCCCATGTGTCCCCTTATAGCCCCCTCCCCAGCCCCCATGTGAAGAGTCATAGAAAGCATGCATACAATGTGACATAGAAGAGTCATAGAAAGCATGCATACAATGTGACAGTGTGGCAGCGAAACCACAGAGACCCATTTCCTCTAACAGCACACTATGTATTAACCCAGTGAGATAAATATTTATAGCCCACTACCCAGCCCCCAGTCCCAAGTGTCCCATTATAGCCCCCCACAGGTGTCCCATTATAGCCCCCCACAGGTGTCCCATTATAGCCCCCCCCCTCCCTGTACCTTGCGTGGCAGAGCAGGCAGACTGCGGTTGAGGAGTTTCTGTTCCCCTACCCGGTGAGCACTTCTTGTCAGACCGCGTAGGGGAACACTGGCCCGATAGTGTGCTAGCCCACTGGGAAATTTCCCGGTATCCTGGTGGGCCATTCCGGCCCTGGCAGTGTGCGCTGATGACAGATGTGATTTTTGCACAGTATGGATATTAGGCAGCCTGGAATGCCTAAATCACGTGTGCTGGGATGCAACTTCCCCCAACACACAATTATAAAATATCTCTAGATGTGCAATGTTTCAAGCTAAAAACAAGGCACATGCAGGTTCCTACCACCATGACACATTCAAAAAACAGACGTGGTCATGGTGGTTGGAGTAACCCTTTACTGCCTTTGCAACAGGTGAGATCAATGGTACATCACAGTCACTGTCATGTTGATGGACAATCCTTATACAGTCTTGCAAACTATCCTGAATTTGGTATTACAGTCACAATTTTGTTTTCTATGTGTGTTTCTTTTCTGATATCCCACTTCTGGAGACACTGGGAAAAAGCCTACCTACTGTAAGATGCAAAGAAACTGCATTATTAAATGCACTCAAGCTGCGCAAGGCTAAGGAGTTCTTAAATTGTGCTGTGTGTATAGGAAGTCCTGGTTATCTTCCTGTCTTCTGGCATCCAGGATGACTTGTCCTTCTGTATTTGTGTGTGTTACCAGTGCAGTGTGAGATAGTGTAGTCACAGGAACAGCATGCACTCGATGTGAGAGTAGAGGCATAGACAATGTGTGACAGCAGAGACATAGAAGAGTCATAGAAAGCATGCATACAATGTGACAGAGTGTGACAGCGAAACCACAGAGACCCATTTCCTCTAACAGCACACTATGTATTAACCCAGTGAGATAAATATTTGCCCAGAATAATATAAAACAAACAAACAAACAAAAACATAGATTTGTAAAAGTGTAAAAATCACCGGGAAAAGAGGATTCATGCTATGCTAGCAGTATAACATGCCATAAAAGGACACAAGTGTCACAGACTGTCTCTGTATGGGGCAGCAACTGAAGTCACTCTGACATCATTTTCACTGCACCTTTTACTATTGTGTGGTCGTGTCGAATCATTGCAGCCATCACACCATATTTCTCACACACTTTTTGGTGCACAGGAATACTGCGAGCCAATAGAATCTACCCTTACAGTGGGAAAGCCTCTCTCACCGATAGCCAAGTGCCCATCTGCGGTTTTCCTTGACCCAATAGTGCGTTCCTTGCTTTATCTGCTTTATTCTGTTTTCTCAAATTTCTCCATTCCTTGACCTTTTGTTTTCTTTTGTCTTGTCGTTTATCCTTTCCTCTGCACTCATTGACCATGGCTTGTTATCAGACTATTCTGTCTTTAATCCGAGCAATTCCACTGACCAGTAATATGGACAGTCCTGCTAATCTCTGGTTATTTCGTTCTTGAGGTTTGGTTTTGCCATCACAAAAAGAGGCTGAAATAAAAAATAAAAAAAACTATTGGATTGCACAGCACTAACAGTCAGCCTTCACAACCAGTTATCCCAGCCATTTGTCATGGTACATGTATATAAACTCCATTACTTTGACAAAAAGAACAGGCAGCTGTACACCAGTATTTCAGCTTTTTTAATGTATCAGGTTTGTAGGATTTGCTGTTGACAGATCAGCAAGTCTGCAATTCCTTGAAGCAGCAAAAGTAACACTGACAATTAGATCTATGGCTTCTCTCTCTATGGGGACAGGACTAGTAATCAGTCAGAATACCGATGCATATCTGACAACTTTCCCAAGTTTGCAGACATAGTCCTTATTTTTTATTTTTTTTGTAAATATGATTTTTATTTTCATTTTTCAAATCGAGGCAGTCCTACTTCATTTGGACTCGCAGGTCCATACTTAGTGAGGGCATAGAGTAAATCAGCGACATTGTAAGGTTGGGTAGCAGTGCGGGCTCGCAGGCCCCATAGACAATGTGGACTCGCAGGTCCCTCTTGCGATGGTATTTTATACACTGTTTGGAACAAGCAGTTGAGGAACAGACAACTCATGATATACTCAGTTCATCAGTCTCCTAGCTTAAACTGCTAGTTGAAAACCTAAACTTGGACGTGATACCTCCCCGTCCCCATGCGTTCCATGATAATTGTCCGTCCTCTCCCCTACTTTACTATGGTCGTGAACCGTCTGCCTACATGGCGGATGTCCACCATGTGTGGTCTCCAAGTCGCCCTAATCCATGCAGTACTAGGCGATCCCTGCCAAATCCAGGGTACCTTTTACTCGTGTGTTAAGGTGGTCGGGATGGGTATGTCGTGGTGGGGGGGTATCGGGATAGGGGTCTAGGTTCTGTCGGTGTCAGGTGTCCGCCTCTTGGTGTAGCGTTAGTCCAGTCTCTATTGTTGGGCCTGTGTCTCGCCCAGGAAGCCTGGTTGTGTCGACTTCAGTAGCCAGTGCGTCCATATATTGAGATAGGTTTGGTGTGTGTTATTCGCTGTGGCGTGGAGTTCTTCTAAGGACCTCAACTCCTCCATTTGGGTGAACCAAGTTTTCAGTGGCGGAGTGGTCTGCTGTTTCCAGTGTTGTGGTATGGTAGCTTTAGCTACGTTTAGTATGCGGATCGTCAGTGATTTCTTATATATGGTCCTAGGGACCTTAGTGAGGTGTAGAAGCATTTCTGCTGGGCCGAATGGGGGTGGGTCGTCTGAGAGTTGCCCTATAATTTTGTGTATGGCTTTCCAGAACGGTGCGATTTTGTTGCATTCCCACCAGATGTGTAGAAGCGTGCCCGTCCCCTCTCCGCATCTCCAGCACACTGGGGGGTATTCTGGGATATGTTCGTGTAGTGCCGCGGGGGTGCAGTACCAGTGTGTCAGTAGTTTGTATGCTGTTTCCTGCGTCTTGCTGAAGCTAGAGCAATGGTGCGTGAGATAGCAAATTTTTTCCCAGTCTGCCTTATTAATCGTACGACCCAGTGCTGCCTCCCATTTCCCCATAAAGCTTGGTTGTGCTATTGGTGTTTGAGTCAGAAGTGATGTGTACATGAGGGAGACTCCGTGGGTTAACGGGTCTGGGTGTAGGCATATGTCTTCAAAGTATGTGGGAGCTCTCGATAAAATGGGCCCCTGTGGGAGAGTTGCTATGTAGCTCTGGAGTTGTTTGTGTTTTAGGCGTATCAGGAGGTTAAAGTCTGCGTCTCCCCTCAAGTCCCTGAGTGTCTTGAGGCCATTTGCCGTATAGACGTGGCTAAGTCTGGGGATTGGGTCTTGGATCAGCGCGTGGAAAGCCCTTGGGTCCAGTCCCGGTGGAAAGTTTGGGTTGTGTATTAGTGGGAGAAGGGGCGATGGGTACGGTGCTAGCTCGTGTCTATCCTTTGTGCAGTGCCACTCTTGCAGAGTAGCCTTGATGTATGGGGAGCATTTCCTCCCCTTGCTCCCGATCCCGGGAGGCAGCCATGGCAGGACCGCGACTGGGACACCTGCCTCGACTTCTGCTTGTTTCCATTGCTTCTGCACCCCTTGTTTGGACCATTCTATTATCCGGAGGAAGTGACAGGACCTATAATAGAGAGTGAAGTCCGGCAATGCCAGGCCTCCTCTATCCTTCGGTAGCGTTAATAGGGTATGTCTGAGTCTTGGTCGTTTCCCATTCCAGACGTATCGCCCGAGGGCAGTGCGGAGCGTGACGAAGATAGTCCTTATTTTTAACTCCAGCTACACTCAAGGTTATTCATAAAATTAGATTTTTGTTGGGAGTTCAAAGTGAATTCTAAGTTAAATTCCAGTTTTAATCACAGTAGATGAATTGGGACATTTTCCAAGTAATCCAAGTTTCCAGTCTGACTGTTTTGGCTCAAAGGGACACTCCACTGCCTAAATAAAAAATAAAAATAAAAAATGAAAACACTATTTAGTGGATAAAACATGCCAGCATTTATTGCTGAATTTTTTTCACTTGGGGTATGTGGCGAAACCTGTTGCCCTTGGACTATGGCCCCATGTTAAAAAGCCTTCTTTTCCCCTGCAGAAAAGGCTTGTTCGTGCCTTTCTGCCCGGAGTTCGGTAGATTCAATCTACCGAACAAACAACCGAATCACTGGACCACCTGTATTGGGAGTGTGTTGGCAATTTACCTCTCAGAAGCTGCGGTTAACCGCAGCTTAATTGATTAATGCTGGGTGGCCTTTGTTCGTTTGCCGAACACGTGGCGTCGGCCGTTTTAAAGTCCCGAACGGCCAGCGGTTTCAGCGCCCAAACTCATGGAATTCAAAACGGACACTATTTGTCACGAACACCGCTGAAGCCGCCGACCTCACTTCTCCTTCGGTAAAAACTCACGAACGTCCCTGCATTCGGTATTGTGTCCACGAATAAGCCATACCCCAGATAGCCATCCCATGGAGTCTATTCGTATGGAGAACAGACTTTGTGAACACTTTGACTCCACGGCGATTGGACTGTGTGCATAGGATCTGAGCGCTATTCGGTACTTTTGTGCGCTCAGATCCCAGCTATCTGGGGATGGGTTACATGTATATATTTTATGTGACAAATGTAACATTATGTATTTTATTGTATTTTAGTGTTTTATTGTAACCATGTGGTTAATGGAGTTTTGCCTCTGTCCTTGGAGATAATTGGATTACTTCCCAATTATCTCCAGGATAGAGGGGAGGGATTGTAATGTACTGTGGGAGTGTTTTAACCCTGTATGCCTGTGATTGGTCATTTTACCATTTGTGTCCCAGTCTTCCATCTGGTCCCCTAGGGGAGTGTCCACCAGGTGGAAGACCTGCATAAATACCGGGCAGGTAGCCCCATTAAAACCAGACCACTGCTTGACCCTCAACACGGAGCTCTGTCTCGTTTTTGGGGGGATTTACTGTATGCTGTTAGAGACTGATTGCCAGGAGTGTAAGCCGCTTGGGTGCTTTTCCTGTTCGTCTGCTAGCAGATATTCGTGAGGATCCAGTTGGGGAGTTTGGAGTGCTACTTTGTATGCAGTTCGGGAGTTTGGAGCATCCCCTTGTATTCAGTTCGGGAGTTTGGTGTTCTGCAGTAGCTGTGCCTGTGTCTCTGGAAGGGAAGATCTACTAAATGGCGGTTTAACCCCTTTTATGCCTGGGGGTGCTGTTACAGGGTATATCTAAACACAGCTTGCAAAAGTTGCAGGTCTCGTCTACAGGCTTCCCAGTGCAGCTTAGTGAGAAGTCTTTGCAAGGCAGGTGCTCTGGGCAATTTCCTGCCTCTTGAGTAACAGGAAGTAAGAGGACTTGTTGTCCGATTGACAGTCTGGATGGTGTAACACATTTTTATTTATAGGCAGAGCCAAAAACAGGGTGCAAGAGAATACTGAGAGTGGACAACGACTCAAATAGCTTTCCCTTTGATGGGTCCTTGCTGCGTTCTCAAGCGGGTTTCGGCTCATCCTGTGCCATTACAAAGAGAACCTAAATCGTGCATATGAGACTGATTCTACCCACAAGGGTGTTACAAATCCAAAACACAGGATGGCTTCCTCTGCACAAGATATATAGCAACCCCAGACAATCGTTTCTGCCTTGTTAGGCCTTGTCAGTGAGGTATACCAAAGTAAGAAATAGATGTCTGGGCACAGACAGGATCTATCCAATATGCAGACCTTATTGGACTAAAGCAGTCCTGCTCTACTGTAATAAAGTCTGCATATTGGATAGATCCCATGTGTGCCCAGACATCTATTTATTTTGGATTGCTGTGAGGGATTGGTAATCTCCCTAGTTTGTATAGCACCACATTGTTGATCCTTTTTGTTTGGTGAGTGCCGTTCCTGTTTTGCATTTTGGAAATATATATAATCAGTGAGGTATAGCTGATATGTTAAAAAAGTGCTTTAGGTGTTTAGAGCTTTCCTTTAAAATGTCAAATTCACTTTGAATTGTCATCTATTCATCTGAAACTAAAGCGTGGATTAGCGGTAAAATTCAATTTGAATTCAAAGTAGGGATCGATCAATATAATTTTTAAAGATCTGACAGACACGCATACACACACTGACGCACGCATACACAGACTGACAGACACACACTCACACTCACTAGACACAAACACTAACACTGAACAGGGGAGAGCTCAGGGGACAGTGCTCCCTCGCACACACCGCAACATATGCGCATGCCAGCCTTGGGGGGGGGGGCCCATTCATGGACAAGAGGCTGGCAAAGCATTTGCCAGGCCCTGGAAATGCCGCCCAAGACAAATAACTTGTCAGCCTCGCGGTAAATACACCGCTGTGTGTGAGTATAGTGGATGCAGTGTGTGTGCGTGAGCAGTGGTGTATTCTGGTTTTGTGCTGCCTTAGGCATAACAAAACTCTGGCACCCCCCCTCCAAATTTCTCTTCCTGACAGACCCACACCCTCACTGATGCATGCACTGACATACACTCCCTTACAGATACACAGTCATTGTCACACACACTGTTTAACCCGCACACACTTTCACTGAAAAACACACACATTCACAGACGTACGCACTCACTCATTCACAGTTACATTCACTGACAGACACACATTCACCGACAGATGCATACACACTCACTGACAAGACACACATGCACACTCGCTGAGAGAAATGCATACACACTCACTGACAGATGCACACTCACTCAGTGTCAGACACACACTGGGACACACATATGCTCACTGACAGTTACACATTGACAAACACATATATACAACACTCACTGACAGACATATATACACTTTGTGTCTGACACACACATTGACAGACAGACACATACACTAGCTGACAGACACACACCTCACAGTGAATACACCACTGTGTGTGAGTAGAGTGGATGCAGTGTCTGTGTGTGAGTAGAGTGGATGCAGTGTCTGTGTGTGAGTAGAGTGGATGCAGTGTCTGTGTGTGAGGAGAGTGGATGCAGTGTCTGTGTGTGTGTGAGTAGAGTGGATGCAGTGTCTGTGTGTGTGTGAGTAGAGTGGATGTAGTGTCTGTGTGTGAGTAGAGTGGATGCGGTGTCTGTGTGTGCGTATAGTGGATGCAGTGTGTGTGTGAGTATAGTGGATGCAGTGTCTGTGTGTGAGTATAGTGGGTACAGTGTTTGTGTGTGAGTATAGTGGAGGCGGTGTGTGTGTGTGTGAGTATAGTGGATGCGGTGTGTGTGAGTAGAGTGGATGCAGTGTGAGTAGAGTGGATGCAGTGTGTGTGTGTAAATATGTGGGGTAGGATTATATGACTAATCCATTCCATGGGCTAAAAGCTTTTTTTTATTGTAATTTTATATAATTATTATATTGTTTAAATACTTATAAAAAAAAATATCATTTTTAGTTTTTATCCCCCCCTCCTTTGCCTTTTACCTGTGGCCCCTAGCAGGGGGGGCATTACACTCCCTGCTGGTTCAGTGACTTTGTGCTGGAGCTTTCAAATTGAAGAGGGGGTGGCTGGGGCCCAGCACACGTTGTCTTCAGTTTATATATTCTTTATGCATTTTTTTGTTGTTTTTGAATTAAATTTTTTTTCACTTTTTTTTTATTTTGTTGTCCATCAGAATTCTGTCCTTTAAAGGCAACGTTGCTTTCTTTGGGACAGTGAGATATGGTGAAATGACCAGAGCTTGACCTGAACAGATTTTAGAATCAATAGCTGGAGCTGAATCCCTGACATATTATGTATTTAGATTGTAATACCTTTTGAGCTGGAATTCCAGTTCTAGCAGTTCCTCTATTGATTATTCTGGAATTGCCCAGATAATGTTTGTTTTACCCTGTACAGGACAGTGTCAGGCTCCATCCGCAGCTAAACTATGTGCTACACACACACAACCATGGTGGGAGATTTCAATTTGTACCTAAAAATATGTCCATGATTTAGGAATATGGATAACTCTGTTATTGCATCAACTGTAGCACTAGCACCATCTCATAATCCATTGTCGTTCAGTTCGAGGTAGAATCATCTCTTGCCTTTTAGCCTTTTAAATGGATTGGATAAACTAACAGAAATGTCATACAGAAATGGAGTTTAAATTTAAAGTAATTAAATATTACTTACAAATGCTGCTGCAAAGGTGACTCTTAACAGGATTACTGTTAAGGGACACTAAATATAGCCTCAAAGTAGGAAAATTACCAATGAAATATAACACAATGGAATCCACCCGTCTGTGTTTCGAACACAGTGATGATTGACAGGGCTGAAATCGCTTATGGACCCTGGGCCGAGGAGGGAGAAGTAATGAATCATCCTTCATCCTCTTATCTGCATGATAATGTGATTTTTTTTTATTTTTTATTATTATTATTAATTTATTTTTTTTATATTGGAAAAGCCTCAATATGACTTCAGCCCCACTGTCTTTTTATTTTTTAAACAAATGGTCAGTTCTTAGAGATGTGAATAGCTACAGTGCGGCATAGTTGAGACCTTTTTACAGAACATGTTACAGCCCACAGTTCCAACACTATTAATGCTTGACGTTTCCATGTACATGCTAATACCCAGAATTCTAGAGTGAGTTGAACTCAAGCTTCTTCATGGCCTTCTAATCTTCAGATCTAAACATCATTGAACCTTTATAATACCTTTATGAATGATACAATATTTGATGACACATTTTATGATGTGTATGGCAGCATTTCAAGGACTAAGGCTCTTCTAGAGAAATAGGGCGGCCATACACCTCCTGTGCACTATTGCTACATTGTTAGGTGTTTCTCTCCCAATTAAAACACGGTCATTATGACTGTTATCAGAAAAAGAACTAAAAATAATTTAATGTATTTATTTTTAATTGGAGTGCTCTATTTAAAAAAGGTTGATGGGACAGGCACATACTGAAGAGGTTGATTAGGGCAGAAACTGGACAAGGAAGGAGATATACAAACTGGGGGAGAGGGGACTGTGTTATACAAACTAGGGGAGAGGGGGACTGTGTCATATACAAACTGGGGCCAGGGGTACAGTGCGGGATATAAACTGGTGCCAGTGGAGGTTTGGGGGGTGATGAATGAACTGTGCAAGCTTTAACTGGGGGGGGGGAAGGGGGCATGCCAGGTACTGCCATATACAAACTGGGGAGGGCTGTGCCTGAGACAACAGCAGCTCCTGCCTAAGCGTGTAAGTCCTGCCAATTTTTAGGCAGACCGGGGCATGTATGTCCCTAAGGTTATAGAAACAATAGTTGTATATTTGTAAGGGAAAAGTTAATTTTTACTTTTCCTATGTTAAAGGAACTGTAGCCCAAACCTTGATTATATATTGTCATTTAATGTAATAGAAAAATAACGCTTTGCCTTCTGATTCTATTACGATGTCTCCACAACCCCTTCATGGATGTATATTTTTACAATACACGCTTTCTCTATCAGCCATTGCGTGTTCTATTATTATGTATCGCGTGCCCTGGATCTAGTAAGGAACTTAACTCTTAATATCCTTTCTTTCACCACATCTTGCTCTGCTTCTTACAGATATGATATAGCTCACAGGAAGTATTTCTAAATCCCCATTGTACTGTCATGGCTGATTTCTTAGCAATGAATGATGGAGTTTCCTAGAATATTATCCTCAATATGGGCTTTTTTAAAAGCGATAATTGTTGGGAATAACAAACAAGATCTGTATGACTGCTGTGTCTACTCAACCATCATAGCCTGTAACGTGTTAAAGGGATACTATAGGTGCTATAACCATTTAATACATTGTTTGCAGTAACTAAAATATACATACACTGCATGCTGGCAGCACATACTGTAACTCCTCACTATTGGAATGTGTTCTATGTAAATAAAATATACATACCTCCCATGCTGCTCTAATAGGCCACAATAGAAAGTGAGGTAAGTGGCCTGCCACCTACTCCATGTTTAGTCAATAAACACCTTTGTTTGCTTTTGTGGAAAATAACCAATTTTAAATATAATGCTGGACTCACTGTGGCAGTGGAAACGATCCAGCACAGACTGAGGCCACTTTGTATAGGATCCATTTTGTTTTGTGTTGTAACCTGTGGTTGATACAAGATTGGCTTAAACCTACATGGTGGAGTTTGGAGCACCTGGCGATGTTCTCCAAGACTAACTGACAGTGTCACAAAATCACTGTCATGTTATGATTTCCAAATATATAAACAAAAGGAGGAATTCCTCACTCCTATCAGAAACCGGGTGGGGTTGGCTGCTCCTACTGTGATAGTTTAACAAAATTGTGGTCCAGACACTCAAGGCTCAGTTAAACAGCAGGTTTATTTGCTGAGCTTGAGAAAGATCCTTAGGGGATCGAAACATTGCACTTTTCCTAATAAACTTGCTGTTTAACTGATCCTTGAGTGCCTCGACGTAATTATGTTATGATTTCCAGTCCCTTGCTAACCACCACACAGAATATCTGGTAGAGCCATATACTACAGTGGACAAAACAAAAACAGAGAATTTCCATCTATCTGTCTCATTTAATCAGCTTAAAGGGACACTCTAAGCAACATGACCAATGCAGTTTGCTATATTCGTTATTTCTTCTAGAATGCCTGGGTGTTGTCCCTTGGTTTAAGAAAGAATTTCATGTAAACCTTGGCTTTTCTTAGCATAAAGAGACCACTCACTCATTGATCACATTATTTGATATATAGTAGATATAGAAATGACGCCCGCATTACACAATGTATGATATAAACCTGTTGTTGTTGTTTTTTTCACCTTCCAGAGACCGCCCCCTCCTCTGCAACACTGATATTTCAGAATTAACACTATTGCAATATCATTGTGAACTTCCTCTAGCCTAGAGGGTCAGGAATTATGAACACACATTTGGATCCCTAACGTTATAGTGTTCCTTTAATAACATTAATGTTATCAGAATCAAATAACATGCATCTGTCTTATCAAATATATCTAGGTTGCTAAATAGACCTTCTCTTCCTGGACAGTTTTTTTTGTTTGTTTTCATAAATATTTTTTGGGGAGCTTATTTAAATTTTCCCAGATACTATCACATACCAACAGCCTAAAGTAAACACATTTTACAAAAAAAAAAATTAAAACATGCCTTTGCAGAGATATAAGGAATCTTTGTATTTTTTCCCCTTACTGAATGTAACTACTATCTGGGTTTATTATTTCAATAAACAAGCTGTCCCACCTGCTTTCTGGCACTGTTAGACTCCATAGTTAAGATATAGAGTCAGTTCCTCAATTTAAGATTACATCAATGCTTCTCTTGTCTGGAAACATCACCTGGAGATTTGGGTTCCCAGACCTACCATCCCATCTGGAGAAGAATTACACATGTACAGACAAGCATTAGAAGCTAGCAGTTGATATATGAACACCTACAGAAAACATAAACTTCTCGCTGTATTTTAAATAATTAGAAGAATGGATTTTTTTACAGGTGTTTTGATGGGTGTTTGTAAATAATGTGGAATGTGGAAGCCCAGGATAAGAGTGGGTAGTTTGTAACTTTTAGGTGACATTTACATTTGTGTCTGTGATTTCTGTAAATATAGATATCTAATCTCACTGATAATCAGATTCCAAGAATGAGCTAGAGACTTTTGTCATGCCCAAAATACTCATTTAAATCGTAAATCTTATCTCGGAATTTACTGGTTAGAATTACCTTCGGCTCTATTTACTAAACTGTGAGAGGACAACCATGTTACAGAATGTAAAAAACCCCAAACAAGGTAAAATACTAAACCAGCTCACCACAGCTTGCTATTTATTGAAAAAAACCATAATATTAAAATAAAATGTAAGGCCAGTCCTTTGAATTATCTTTGATTTTCTGTAAAAGTCATTTTTATTCCCAATAAAAATATGAAAGGGTTTTTCCAAGCACCGTGACCACTTCAGTGCCTTGAAGTTGTCATGGTGCAATGGATCTGTATGTACAGCGGTTTCACTATGAAATACCACACATACTGAGATATTTCATGATGCTCCTGTATGTTTAACTCCACTTCTGGCAACATTCATTAGTCAGCCTAGAACAAAATTTACTGAATGGCAAGTGTTAATTATGTACACAGAGATTCATTCATTGGTTAAAGGGTTACTATAACCCTTATGCTTCCTGTGTGAAATGCCTTACTGGACCCCCGCAATTTGGGGAAAAAAAACAAACAGGTTTTACTTGCCTTGAAGCCAACACCTGGCGAAACTCCTGGAACTGATCTTCCTCACGCCCTCCTACATCACAGGGGTTGCGCACGGTCAAATCAGTCTTCTCATAGAGAAGCCTGTGACTGAACCATTTTGCTGACTCAGAGAGTATGTGCGTGCTCCGGGCCGGTGACGGGAAGGAGGGTTTTAAAAAAATAAAAAGTGCAGCAGAAGAAGGCAGTAGGGAGCGCAATGTGGGTGGGAGGGGATAGCAGTGTGCGCTGATGACAGACTTATTTTATGCACAGAATTGACATTGGCAGCCCAGAACAGAATTCTTGGCTGTCAATGTTACATGTGCTGGAGGTGCAATTGGCCCACAGCACAAAAATAAAAATATCTCTTGTATGTGCAGTGCTTATGGATGTCTACCACCATGACAACTTCAAATCACTTAAGTGGTCATGGTGGTTGGAGAAACCCTTTAAGAGCACCCAGCAGAGATTCTTAGTCACTGAATTAAAGACAAGTTCTTCATAAGGTGTAATATCTTGATTTATGTGTTCCAGGGTGTTTGTAATAAGTCTTTTGTGTATTTAACTTCTCGGATTAATGGCTCGTCATGTTAATATACATCTATATCTATATCAAAAATACTAATACTCAACCTGACGTTCTTTATAAAAAATATGCATTTATTCTCCAAAAGCAAACAATAATAATATACTTAACAGATGGTATTTCTTAACGATGTTACAGAGAGATCTATGATGTAGTCGTCTTTGTATCAGGGACACACCCAGAAACAAGAGAGAAGAGAACGTGGTTCTTTGCCTACTGTTCATTTATAGGCCAAATTACATCATAACTTTTTTTAACCTATTGTACATACATATATGTATATGAATAGGAACATAGAATATGTAATATTCTACATTAGGCTTCTACAGATCCAGTTGTTTTGTTGACTATAGTCTCCCTTTAAAGGAACACTGTACTCACTTTAACAATTTTATCACTTTCCCCCCACCCCCTGAGAGTTAGGCTCCAGATTCCTATATTTTAATCATCTAAAGGCTTGAAAGTGTGGCATTAAGCCTTGCCTCCAAGCCCTCTGGATAGGAGAGTTGGGAGTTTTACTTACTGGCACTCATATCCATGCACACTCTGACTTCACACACACATGCGCAGTGCAGTCACGGCTTGTCGTAGAGAATAATTGCATCCAATGATTCTATATGACAAGAGAATCATTGGCGGACCACTAAGACAGCCACAAGAGGTGCTTTCCAGGAAATAGCAGGGCATGCAAATTGGCCTCCAAAAACATAACTATAGGACAATTGGGTTGGATGAGATCATTGATCTCAGCCAAGAATGTGGGACCAGCTGCAGAGACTGGTGCTATGAGCAAGAAAAGGTAAGTAAAACAACTTATTTTTCTCCCTGTTGGCGTCAGTCGGTCACCTAAATGGCTTTCAGGGTACTAAAGCGTTAAGAATACACATTTGGATTCCAAACACTATAGTGTTCCTTTAATAATATAATGTTATCAGAATCAAATACCATGCATATGTCTTATACAATATATATTGGTTGTCAGATCGACCTTCTTTTCATGGACACACTATCACTTATTCATGCAGATGGGCAGGGCATGAAAACTGCTGCCTATCTGTGTGTAGAATTTATAAGCTTAAGGTTGCGACTCAAGCAACCTCAAAAGAATCCCAAGAGGAACAGTTTGATTGCTTTCCTTCTTGGAGCTTATTAATTATATATAGTGCAGGAGAAGAGCAGAGTTCATGCCTTGACAGTCAGCATGGATAGGTGTCCACAGGAACATGATAGATTAGGAGATGTCACACATACCCTATAATTACTTAGGCCATAATTAATTTTTAATTTCATTACTTCACTTAGATCTCCCACTCCATGTAGAAAGCCATCCTTACTGATAAATGTTAAAAAGGAAAAATGTTTTTTATTGTACAAATTGTACTTTTTTTGAGTAACTAAAAATACTTGTAAAATGTCATTTTAATATTAAAAGATGACAGATTCTCTTGTAGACACATTAGAAGACTGCACAAGATCAGAGACATTCTGAAACCACACTACACTACACTGAAACATACAAACAGACACTTACAAATAGTCTGAGTGAGACACACTCAAATACAAGCACTCACAGACAGACTCGTTACAAACACAGACACACTGAGAAGCTCATGCAAACATTCTCAGGGACACTCACTCAAACTTAGAGACACACTCACAGGCACTCAATGCTCAATGACACACAAACAAAAAAAGAAATATGTATGTGTCTGATTTTATTTTTGTAATATTATCTGAGCCCCCATCCCCTTTGCTTGGAGATGATGGGGCTAGTCCCTTGGGGATCTAGTGGAGGGAGCCTGATAAGTCAGCAAAGCGGGGCTCAGCCGAGTCCCTGCTATCTTGCAACATATGGAGTTTCTTTAGAGGCTCCAACATTGAGAGCAACAGAGACACTATAGCTGTGGCAGACATGCTTAGATTCTAGTCACCCTCACAGACTTAGGAGAGACAGTTTTCACTGGTATCCCTGCAGCTGTGTGCTCTATGTACAGAGATGCCTACTTGGCGGTGACTGTCAGGGAGCTAGAGGTGGTCTAGCAGGGCAGTACTGTGGGTACGACACTTAATGCCATCCCTACTTTTCACCATTGTGGCTAAAGTTCCCAGAGCCATGTTTTCAGGACCCATATCATTTTTGCATATGGTAGAGGAGTACATGAAAACAAAAAGTGAAAATAAAAAAGAGGAAAAAAAACAAAACACGAGTTGCCTCTTGAAGCAATGATTGCTGAAAATTTCTGGGAAACACTTTTCCTGTACTACTAACAGTATGATGTCCCCAGGCAACATTATTTGGGTTGGCTTACCTTATCACGGGTAATCAATGTTATTAAAAATAAAATCACTTAACCAAATGTAAGGTAGAATATAATTACAGGGTTTGGCTGGTTAAACATTGTTCATGCCTGTCACAAAGTACAGATTAAAAGGGTGTAAATGCCCTGTACGTGATGAATTCCATGTGGCATATCCTGTTTTAAAATTATGGTACACTGTAAAATCGTTTACAATAAATGCATCCAATATATTTAAACCAGGCCGTTCTGGGCACCTTATAATACTTATTGGCTCCTTGGAGCTGAGATAGAAATCTGTATAAATACACACTAAGGGTTTTTACTATGTAGAGCAACACCCCTTGTCTCAAATCCCAGAATCTAGTCCACATGTTATATCAGGGGCTTACCATTGCTTGTGAGAGGCACATTTTATTCACCAGGCCCCATGCAAATAACTGCCACAATGAATAGTTTTTTTGGAAGAGCAATGCCATGCACAGTATCGTGGAAACACCATTGACACCAGAGAGAATCTAATGAAAGTGTTTCACAAAATATATTGTTATATATTTATATTTCAGTTGAAGCATGCATTGGGAACTTCATGACGTGCACAATTTGTGTCTGTGTCCAAAAAATGCAATCACGGATATAAAATATTTCCCAGGCATTACACTGTTCTTCAGTTGTTGCAATAGATCAGCTTTTCTTAACAAGTAGGTTATAAGTATTGTAGAATTGCATTTCCCAAGATTCTTTGGAAGCATGAGACTCACGTCAGGAGCTCGAGTGCTGCCCCTAAATACCCCTTGGGAGTACCAATATTCACTCGCTAAAATGTGGTCAGTAAATGCTCAATGGAAAATCAATTATTTTGCTTTGGAATAAGCAATAAAATAAAAGTAATGTATTGAACACATATCACATTCCTGTGTCATACTTTGTACGTCAGTGATAAACAGACTTATAATACTTATCTTCCAGACTCTCTATCTATGGAAAAAATATAGATCTTACTCATAAAAAAGCCAATGCTGGTTTATATCTCAGCCAAGAGAAAGGTAATAACAGAAACTCGCTAACTTTAAAACAAATTGCTCACTATCAGACCTGTTAACTACAAGAAACCAGTGATTTATCTCCTTGACTTCCATAAACAACAAGAGCTGATATAAAAAAATCCTTTAAAACATAGCAATCTTAAATAACAGCTATAGCATTAGTAATACAAACCTGTTACTATAGAGAAAAAAGTAAAGTGTGTGTGTGTCAGGTTGCTTAAGGTTAATGGGGGGTAACCCCTAGATAGAAAATAACTGAAAAAAGAGAGTGCAAGCAAACCCTAAGGGCACAATAGATCTAAATAGTATCCCTGCAGGTTTCTTGTACTGTAACAGCAACCCCAATAGTGAGAAATAATAAAATGTAACTTTTAATAGAAATATGTTTTAAAAGAAAGCAGGATCGCTATATAAAGATAAATAGTGAAAAAAACAGAGGGGAATAACAAAATGGAGATACTAGCTATCATATTCGTGTGTGCGTACATTTTTACTTTTCAACATTCTGATTTTGGGGCCATTTCCCACCATCCTGGGTCCTGTCTGAGCACAGTAAGAAAATGTCCTGGTAAGTTCAGTGCATCGTTAGACAAAGGGCCATGGACATAGGCAACCCAAAGTGACTATGAGTCAGCCTGGCATCAATACACGTCAGACTGACGCCCCCTTTTCAGGCACGAATGCCTCTATGCGCTCATTGACATGCCCCTCCCCTTGCCTGTCCACCCCTGTTCAATGTCAGGTGATATATATTATATTTTTTATAGTTACTATATTGCACATGATGCCACGTGCCAGAAATGGGCACAGATAATATATTTAAAAACCCTTTTTAAAAGAGTCTGGCTGCAAAACCTGCCCGTATTTTGTTGCAAACAAATGGGATGTCTGCAGGTGCTTTATACTGGTGCATTGCTTGTATATAACGGAGCTGCTGAGGAAGTCACATTCATTGCTGTCAACGGTTATATTCAATATGTACTTGTTTGCTTTTTTATGCTTATTATTTACATATGAATAAATATATAATTTCTTTTAAGCTGTTGGCATCCTTACTATTGGTATTTTCTTGTTTCAGTGGAGGCATTCTCTCTCTACTCTGGGTCCATCAAGCAAGGACTTTGATGTGACTCTTCAAATAGCTCAAGGCCTTGCTTTTAAGAACCATTGTGAGTGCTATACTTCCTTGCACCATTTTAATAGTGTCTAGGTGCACTGCACTTATTTGATGTATTTTCTTTTTAGACTAGCTGTATACTTACATATTTGTATTTTATTTGTATTAGCTGTCTTTGGGATTGTGAAGAAGCCATCTATATTGTGAAGTTTTGTTTGTTTTTAATCACTTTTACATCACTGCATGAAGTGTATTGTGTGCATGTATTGTTTTGATATATACAGTATCTCACAAAATTAAGTACACCCCTTGCATTTTTGTAAATATTTTATCATATCTTTTCATGTGATAACACTGAAGAAATTACACTCTGCTAGAATGTAAAGTAGTAGGTTTACAGCGTCTATAATAGTGTACATTTGCTGTCCCCTCAAAATAACTCAACACACAGCCATTAATGTCTAAACCGTTGGCAACAAAATTGAGTACAACAACCCTAAGTGGAAATGCCCAAATTGGGACCAATTAGCCATTTTCCCTCCCAGTGTCATTTGACTCATTAGTGTTACAAGGTCTCAGGTGTGTTAAATTTGGTGTTATCGCTCTCACACTCTCTCATACTGGTCACTGGAAGTTCAACATGGCACCTAATGGCAAAGAACTCTCCGAGGATCTGAAAAAAGAATTGTTGCTCTACATAAAGATGGCCTAGGCTATAAGAAGTATGCCAAGACCCTGAAACTGAGCTGCAGCACGGCGTGCAAGACCAGACAGCAGTTTCACAGGACAGGTTCCACTCAGATCAGGCCTCGCCTTGGTCAAAGAAGTTGAGTACACGCGCTCAGCATCATATCCAGAGGTTGTCTTTGGGAAATAGACATATGAATGCTGCCAGCATTGCTGCAGAGGTTGAAGGGGTTGGGGGTCAGCCTGTCAGTGCTCAGACCATATGCTGCACACTGAATCAAACTGGTCTGCATGGCTGTCGTCTCAGAAGGAAGCCTCTTCTAAAGATGATGCACAAGAATGCCCGCAATCAGTTTGCTGATGACAAGCAGACTAAGGACATGGATTACTGGAACCATGTCCTGTTGTCTGATGAGACCAAGATAAACTTATTTGGTTCAGATGGTGTCAAGCATGTGTGGCGGCAACCAGGTGAGGAGTACAAAACTGTTTCTTGCCTACAGTCAAGTATGGTGGTGGGAGTGTCATGGTCTGGACCTGCATGAGTGCTGCCGGCACTGGGGAGCTACAGTTCATTGAGGGAACTGCCTTGCTAAAGAAGCTGAAGGTAAAGGTGATGGACTGGCCAAGCAGACCTAAATCCTATTGACAATTTGTGGCAAAACTAGCCACTTATTTGCATGAAAGTCTGAGGTTGGTTTGACTATTTGAGGTTCCCGAACAGAATATATAATATTGTTCGTCAGTCGAACCGACCACCGAACGGGGAGACTACCCAAGGGAGTCGTGTTCCTCCGATTGACTATTTTCACACCAGAAAACCGCAAGGTTCTAAGTGGTCGGATGGGTGGGCGCCGTTCGTATGACCGAAAATGTGGCGGCAGCCATCTTTGCTCACAAACACACAGCGGTGTTTAGTCATCGAGTGCGTGGAACTATAATCGGACATTCGACCGTGCGAACACCGTTGAACTTCCATCCTGTTCGTAAGTTTATTTTTTTCGTCTATAAGGAGCAGCATTCGTCTGAATGGAACGAATGAACACCAGGGACACGACTACCCAATTCATGAATATTTGCATTCGTAGTTTAATGGTGAAAACCGGTCAAAGCATACAACCACATGGAACTGTTTGGGGCTTCGCCTCATGGTTGACCGGTCTAAACTTCACTTGAATGGTGTTCAAAATCACCATTAAGAACGCCTACCCCATTCCTCTTAATGCTGAATTATTTGATAGACTCCAAGGCGCTAAAGTGTTTACTAAGCTTGACCTTTAGAAGTGCTTACAATTTAGTGAGAATCAAGAAAACCATGAGTGGAAGACTGCATTTAAATTCTTTATTTTTGTGGATAAAGCATGATGTTTACAATATTACATGTTTGGCACTATAATGAACAAACAACACAGTAATTTCATCATGTTGCGGGGACTATCCATTTTTTATATTTCTAATAGCTTTTACAGCCCTCTCTCGCCTGTTCTCCCGCGGGGGGTTGGTGATGTGTTGGGGGGCTCCTTTCCTATGGCGGTGAGTGCCCTGAGGCTCGTTTGTGTATATTTACATGTGGCATTAACGAATGGCACATCTGGGAGGGTGATCTGCTGGTGGTGCTCGGTTAGTGCTGTGGGTGCCCATAGGCTTAGTGGTGGCATGGTATATGTGGCTTGGGCCTAAGGCACGTGTAAATGTGTGGGTAGCTGGCATGGGTGCTGATGGACCTGGGCATAGGGCTTAGTGCTATAATTGCGTAAAAAAGGCTGTATTCGCTTACCGAATGTGAGCAATATGAACTCAGCTTTGTACCCTCAAAATAATATAAATTAAAGAAGGGGGGGGGGGGTAACTTGGTCATAGAACCTGAGCTGTAGCTTACGGAGCCAGTGGGAGGAAGTTATCTAGGGAGGGGGATTAACAGTCCCAGGTACTGTTAGTGCTCCTGTTGTCTACAGGTAGAAATACATGGAACTTGCATGGCTGCAACTGTATCAGGTAGGCAGGGCAGCAACTTGCGGGCCCTCTTCCTCTGGGCATGAAGGGGGTTATATCTGCCACAGTCCAAGGTGGTCGGGCTGTTTCTTGTGCTGCCTGCGCCGGTATGCCCAATGCTCAGAGGAATGCCGGTATTTCAGAAGTGTGTGATAGCTTGTGTGTCATGCCTGCCTTGTCCGCCTGTAGTCTGCGTGGGCCCCACTTGTAGGGGGTGACTTGATTCCGTAGTAGTTGTGTAACCTGACGGAAAGATTTCCTCCATTGTATAGTGTGTCTTGAATAGTCTCTGTAAAATGCTAGTTGTGCCCCTTCAAACGGCACTGTGGGAGAGTCTCTTGTAGCTCCCATAAGTATTCCTCGGTCAGAGTCAAATTGTATCAGGACATCGCTTGCTCCTTCTCGTGGCGTAGAGGTCGCCCTGGAGAGCCTGAAGCAGGAATCGATCATTACCTGCTTCGCTTGCCGTGGTGTCAACAGCGTGGCTATGAGCCGTCGGCAGAAATGTGGCAGTTCAGTGCCAGAGATTGTTTCCGGTATTCCCCGGACCCTCAGGTTCTGCGTCTTCTGCCTGTCTTCCATGTCCGCCAGTTGTGCTTGCTGGTCGGCACACTTGCGCAGGGCGTTCAATGCGGCATCTGTGGCATTTTGCGCCAGCGTTGTACCTTTTGCGCCCTCCTCCACTGCTGCCACCCTGTTGGTTAGCGCAGCAATATCCTCCCTCACCAGTGCCATATCCGCCTGAAACATGGTCTTGATTTCTTTAACCAGGGCTTTGATATCCGCTTTGGTGGCGGTTGCTGAGTCTCCCTGTTCCTGGGGTCCCCGAGGTGCCTGCCACCCTCGGCTCAGTATGGAGGGTTCATTGTAGTGGTTATCCTTGTCCGAGGATTGGGCGGAGAAATCCCCGATATCTCCAGATCCTGTGCTCGGATCTGCCCTCTGTTTTTTGGTTTTCTTCCCCATGATACAGGGAGGCCGTGCTCTCTTTGGTGCGCCGGTGAGCCGGTGTTTATCGTCTCTGGGCAGCGTTTTTCGGCTCGGTGCACGGAGCAGTAGTGCTGTGCGACTATCCTGCTCGGGTGCTGGCTCCGCCCCCCTCGGAAGACTGCATTTAATACCAGAAGTGGACACTATGAATATCTAGTGATGCCATTCGGGTTGTGCAAAGCTCCAAGATTTCATAAATTATGTACTCAGGGATTACATTTACTTGCTTGTCTTGGTCTGTCTGGATGATATCCTTATTTATTCTCCTGACATTCAGACTCACCACGATCACGTGAGACAAGTTCTGCATACTTTGTTAAAAAATCAACTTTATTGTAAATTGGAAAAATGTATCTTTGACCAATCTAAAGTACAGTTTTTAGAAAATAATATCTCTGCCTCAGGGTTTCAGATGGATTCTAAAAAGTTGGAATCGGTTCTACAGTGGCCTTTACCCACTGGGTTGAAAGCCATTCAAAGGTTCATTGGTTTAGCCAATTATTACAGAAAGTTTATAAAGGGATTTTCTTCAGTAATAGCCCCCATCACCAATATGACACGCAAGGGGTTTAGCAGTACGATATGGTCTAAGGAGGCTATAGAAGCATTTGAAACTCTCAAACAGCGGTTTGCCACTGCCGACATATTGATATATCCTGACACCAGTAAACCTTTCATACTGGAGGTTGATGCTTCAGAGACAGGGGTAGGGGCAGTTCTCTCCCAGAGGGAGAGCCAGGATACTCCATTACATCCTTGTGGTTACTTCTCTAGAAAGTTGTCGCCTGCCAAGCGCAATTATGATATTGGCATTAGGGAATTGTTGGCCATTATTCTAACTCTCAAGGAGTGGCGACATCTTTTAGAGGGTTCCAAGGACCCCTTTTAATCATTACTGATCACAAAAACCTGGCTTACATAGGAGACGCTAAACAATTGTCTTCTAGACAAGCTAGGTGGTCTCTGTTTCTTTCTCGCTTTAATTTTCTTATTACTTATAGACCTGGTTCTAAGAATGTCAAGGCCGACACCTTATCCAGACAGTTTGATACTGAGTCTATACAAGAGCAAGTCCCATATCATTCCCCCGGAATGTATCATTGCTTCCACTATCCTTTCATTGTCCTCTCCGCTGCTTGGTTTCATCATGGAGGCTCAGTCGCAGACGCCCTGCGGTAAACCTCAGGACAGATTGTTCGTTCCATTGGGGGAAAGGGTTATTATCATGAAGGTGTTAAACGACAACGTATCTTCCGGCCACCCGAATATTAATAAGTCCATTTCTGCTATCATGAGATCATTTTGGTGGGATTCCTTCAGGAAGGATGTTAAGCAGTATGTGCAGGCCTGTTCTGTATGTGCGGTTTCTAAAGTAACTCATAAACTCCCTTGTGGCGATTGAATTGTCTTTTTCATCCTCTTACCACCCCTAGACTAATGGTACAGCTGAGAGGGCTAACCAGTCCTTGGAATTATATATGAGTTTTTTCATTAATAGCACTCAAGACACTTGGTCCGAATTACTACCATGGGCCGAGTTTGCTAGGAACAATGTAGACCATGACTCCTCTGGATATAGTCCATTTTTTGTTAATAATGGCCAACATCCTACTGTCCTCCCGGCTGTTTTTTCTGACACGGCTATTCCTGCTTTGGATGACCGTCTTGCTTCTATTCGTGATACCTGGGTCAAAGTTCACTCCGCACTGGGGACTGCTGCTGACCGTTTCAAGCATTATGCTGATAAACGGCGAAGTGCCAACCCTGTTTACCAGGGTTGGGTGAGACGGTTTGGTTATCGTCATGCAACATTAGGCTTAAAGTCCCTAGCATGAAATTTGCTCCCAGGTTTATTGGGCTTTTTCGTGTCCTTAGAAGACTCAATCCCGTTTCATACTCTCTGGCCCTTCCGGCCTCATTGAAAATTCCTAACACATTTCATGTCTCCTTACTCAAACCTCTTATTTGCAATAAGTATACTGTCCCAAGTGTCCCTCCTCCTCCCTTGGTTGTTTCTGGACAGGAAGAGTATGAGGTCTCTTCCATAATTGATTCCAGGTTTTCCCGGGGCACTTTGCAGTACTTGGTGGATTGGAAAGGTTATGGACCGGCCAATCGATCTTGGGTTCCGGCATCTGATATACATGCTGGCCGCAAGATAAACTATTTTCATGCCAAATTTCCTCTCACGCCTGGTCCTGCCCGCCTGGTGGGCATTCTTCAGGTGGGGGGGTAATGTCATGTATTCATCCGCTTATAAAAATGTGATTAATGGAATTTACTGTTCAGACAGGAAAAGTTGTGCCGAACAATATTACTGTCCTGATAGGAAAAGTTGTGCCGAGCAGCAATCCAATCCACATGGGGGTTTGTGCTGAGCAGCAATTATGCAAATGGGAAACTGGTAACTGCCTTTGGGGTCAAAGGATCAGATTTAGGCACAGTTTTCATCCTGCTCAGTGTCCTTTCGTGGTTTCCCTTGTGGTTGTCCGAGAGCGCTGGTAATTCTGGTTATTTGACTTTGGCATTGTTTTTTACCCTGTTTTCTGGCATCCCTGACCCCTGGCTTTTCCTTATTGTTGTCTCTTTCTGTATCCCTTGACCTCGGCTATTCCTGACTATTCTTTGGTACGTTAGTCCGGCCAATCTAAGGTCCTGTATACGTTACCTATCAGTCCTCTGTGTTACACAATTCTATGTGCTCGATCATACTGTAATCCTGACAAGATGAGGCCCCTGCTCAGACAAGCTTACAGTTTAGTCTACACTTCTTGTCTTAGTGCTCAAATATTATTTATCAGTTGGAAATTGCTCGAACATTATGTGAAGAAAACTGAAAAATCTAAAGACTCATAGCTGTAGTGGTTATAGTGTATAGAGTATTGCCTTAACGAACTCGGTTACCATATACACTGATCAGCCACACCATTAAAACCACCATCTTGTAAGTCCCCCTCGTTTTGCCAAAACAGCTCTGATGCCTCTATCTGACAATGAGACGTTAGTAGTAGATCCTTTAAGTCCTGCAAGTTTGGACCTCCATAGATCGGATTTGTTGTTCCAGCATATCCCCCAGGTACTCAATCGGATTGAGGTCTGGGGAATATGAAAGCTAAGGCAATGCTTTGAACTCTTTGCCATGTTCCTTCAACCATTCCTGAACAATTTTTGCAGTGTGGCAGGATGCATTATCCTGCTGAAAGAGGACACCGCCACCGCCTAGGGAACGCCATTGCTATGAAGAGGTGAATGTGGTCTGCAACAATCTCTAGGTAGGTGGTATGTGCCAAAGTAACATCCACATAAATGCCAACACCCAAGATTTCTCAGTAGGACATTGCCCAAAGCTGAACACTATTTCCGTTGTCCTACCATCTTCCCATAGTGCATTCTGCTGCCATCTCTTTCCCAGGTACACGCACCCAGCCATCCACCTGATCTAAAAGAAAACATGATTCATCAAACCAAGCAATCTTCTTCCATTGCTCCACAGTCCAGTCCTGATGCTCATACCCCACTAAAGCAGTGGTGTACACACAATCCATGGAGCCCCGGTGCGAAACCGATCCGTGGGCCCCCTCCCTCTTCCCCTCACTCCCTTCCCGTGGGCCCCCTCCCTCTTCCCCTCACTCCCTCCCCCGACAGACAGACACACACACAGACACACACGCACACATGCACACACAGATACAGACAGACAGATATATACACACAGACAAATACAAACACAGGCATACATACATACAGACACATACAGGAACGACACACACACACACACACACATACAAAGACACATACATACAGACAGGCATACATACTGAGACAGACAGACACACATACAGACAGGCGCACACACATACAGACAGACAGACACACATACATACAAACAGACAGACATATACATACAGACACGCACACACACAACACACACATACAAAGACACATACAGACATAGATACAGACATACAAAGACAGACACACATACATACAAATACACATACATACAAACAGACAGGCACACAGACACATACACACACACACACATACACATACAGACACACACACAAAGACACATACACACACACAATATTTAAGTCACCCTCCTGTTTCCTACCTTTTAGGAGCAGGAGGGTGACTTTCCCTGGGGTCCAGTGGTGGCTCAGGTTGATGGGAGTCAGAGTTCCCATACTGACTCCCTCTGTTTCCTCCCGCATGGGCTCTCAGTGATAGCCGGTCCTGTCCCCCAGCAGCAGGGCTGTTTATCCAAAGGGGAAACAGGCTGTCTTCCCCTCCAGCAGCAACACCAGGTCCAGAGGGAGGAGCCTACTAACCCTTCTCCTCAGCTGGGCTCCAACCCGGCTACTCCCGTGGTAGCGCTGGCACCAGGGCAGAGTACCGCTGGTCTCTGCCCACTTAGCAACCCACCCCAGAGCCATGGTGGAGCCCCTGGACATGGACAAGCTACCCACTACCCCAGGTGCAGTAACCAATTCTTGTGGGTGGGCCACTCTGTTGATTATGTTTTGTGGGTGGCTTGCTGGACTAACCAAGGCACTGACCGACAGGAGGTCAGATACCTTGTTAGTCTTTTTGGGAAAGGGGAGAAATGTGGCGAAACCGACCTCGCCACTGGGCATTGGAGAAGACGGATTGCCAGTCTCCTGCCATGTGACTATGGCCTCCTACCATGTGACTATGCCCTTTAAAGACATTATTTGGGCCTATTGGATTTTGAAACACCTTTTCTGCCCCTTTGAATACATGAGGTGTGCCCCTCCCCCGTTTCCTGTCTATTGTTCTCCAGCAGGGCATTGTCCCAGGAACACTGCCAGACCAGTTGGAACTTGTTGCTATGGTTTAACCCCATGGTGATTTGACTGTGTTTGTGGTATGTGAGCACTGTAGCGCTCAGATCCAAGAAATTTGGGGATAGGTTGAATGTGGGGGTTCTGTTAAGTATTACTGTTGTTGTGAATAGAGATATTTTCTGAATGTTGGAGGTAATTGGCTTACCACACCCAAGTCATGCCTCCAGGCGGTCACAAAGGGATTTCCAACTAACTTTTGACCCACTGGACCAATTTGTATGATTTTGACGTATGTTTGTATTTGGAGTATGATTCTGAAAATGTAAGTTTTATGTGAATGTGATGTATACTTTTAGAGTTATGAATATTGTGTAAAACTGTGTATTTTCCTGCCTGTGATAATTACATTAGACCATTGTGTTCAGTAATTATATCACAGGCAGAGGGTAGGATTTTGTGTGGGAGTGTCTGAGTGTATTGTACGTATTGATTGGTTGTTCTGCAAAACCCTGTGGTCAGTACGATGTGTGTAAAATGTGCATAAAAGCAGAGTGTTTGATTAAAAGCTTCAGTTCTACTTCACCCTCAAGTTGGAGTGCCGTCTGTTATTGTGGGAATCTGCTACAAAGGATTGCTATGCTTGTCATACTCCCTTGCTAAATCACTACTAAGCTCTTGTAAGAGCTTGTTCCTGCCTTGCTCTCTGGAGGAGTCTACGGTGGTTATGGTGTCTGCTGGAGTGCTTGGAGCCCTTTGGAAGCGCTAGGAGCATCCTTCAACGGAGGTACCCAGTCGGGGTGCCTGTCGATCCGTTACACTCCCCATGTGCATCAATGAGCCTTGGGCACCCATGACCCTGATGCCAGTTAACTGGTTATCCTTCTATTTACCACTGCATACCGGGAACACCCCACAAGACTTGCCGCTTTGGAGATGCTCTGACCCAGTTGATTAGCTATCACAATTTTGCCCTTGTCAAAGTCACACAGACCATTTTATTTGCCGATTTTTTTTTTTCCTGCCTCCAACATATGAAATTCAAGAACTGACCGTTCACTTGCTGCCTAATATATCCCACCCCCTTACTGATGCCATATAACTACCGTGTTTCTCCGAAAATAAGACCGGGTCTTATATTAATTTTAGTCACAAAAAACACACTAGTGCTTATTTTCAGGGTAGGGCTTATTTATTTACGTTACCAGTATGTACAGCTCTTTCTCTTTGCACTCATCTTGTCTGGGGATCAAAATACCATACTGTCTAATTAATCCACCCCCCCTTTAATAAATCCACCCCCTCTAATTAATCCACCCCCTCTAATTAATTCACCACCCCTTTAATTCACCCCCTTTAATTAATCCACCCCCCTTAATTCAACCCCCTTTAATTAATCCACCCCCCTTTAATTCTAATTAATCACCCCCTCTAATTAATCCAGCCCACCCTTTAATTAATTCACCACCCATTTAATTAATTCACCACCCTTTAATTAATTCACCCCCTCTAATTAATACAGCCCACCCTTTAATTAATTCACCCCCTTTAATTAATTCACCCCCCTCTAATTAATCCAGCCCACCCTTTAATTAATTCACCACCCCTTTAATTAATTCACCCCCTCTAATTAATCCAGTCCACCATTTAATTAATTCACCCCCCTTTAATTAATTCACCACCCTCTAATTAATCCAGCCCACCCTTTAATTAATTCACCACCCCTTTAATTCACCCCCCTCTAATTAATCCAGCCCACCCTTTAATTAATTCACCACCCCTTTAATTAATTTACCCCCCTCTAGTTAATCCAGCCCACCCTTTAATTAATTCACCCTCCCTTTAATTAATTCACCCCCGCCCCCTTTAATTCAGTCCCAGACATAAAATATCTACCGGTACTCACATTTCAAAGATTCCTTGCCGAGTCCGACCACTGGGTGCCTCACCGCCCGGAAATGGATCCTTCCGCTGAAGATCCGTGAAGGCAGACTGACGGCGCTGCGAAATGTCGTCATCACGTTGCGTGATGCCGCGGCCCGCAACGCTCCTCCTACAGTAGAAGAAGGAAGTCTCGCCGCAAAGGTGCAATGCCTAGGTCTTATTTTCGGGGTAGGGCTTATATTGCAGCCCACCCCGAAAATCCGACTAGGGCTTATTTTCGGGGTAGGGTTTATTTTCGGGGAAACACGGTATATAATAAATATCAGAAAACCTGTCCGTGGTTTTAATGTTGTTGATGATCAGTGTACAAGATGTGTCAGATTAATCTACCAGTCCGGATGAGATAACAGCAGTTTTTAAACATACCGTCTGGTGTTCTTCACTTTGTCATAAGTTACCCGCTTTTCATGCTTGCAGGCTGTTTTCACAGGAAGCAGATTATCCAAGTTATTTCCCTATACAATGACTTGTTGAGAATTCTCAATAGAGTTGCACATTTTAGACCACCGTAGCTAAATAGGAAAAATGATAAACTGGGGTTATTCACGAAGTAGCAAATAATAATTAATTGAAAGACGAATTGCATTATCTAGGCAGACATAATCAAGCTATAAGTATAGCTGAGTTGGAAAATGATTTAGATAGTATCCTGTAAAATTTGCTGTTCCCTGGTGAATTCCCTGACAATTCACACTTCATTGAATAACTCTGGCAGTATGCATAGATGTATTAAATTCCTTGAGGAAATTAAAGCAAGTTGGGTGTGGGGTGTCCTCAGTGTGCATTAATTTAAAGGGACATGCTTCTTTTGACAATCACTTTTTTTAAAACCAGAAAGAACATTTTTAAACAACTTGAAAATGATGTAATAAACATTTATAAACTTACTATAAACTTGGTTAGATTGCATTATTGGGTCAACCTCTCAGTTAGGGTTTTTTTTCCAGCCTATGTCACCCTTACATGTCTATACTGGTTTCAGACCAGACCAGAAACAGGGTGTCCTTGTGCAGCAGCAGGAGAGAGAAACCAGAGAATGGAGCCTACTCTGCATGATCACACTGACCAGACTTACCAAAATCCTCCCCCCCCCCCCTCAAAAAAAACTATTATACGCCTCGTATGTATGTATGTGTATATATAGCTACGTGAAGGGGTGACAGTGTGTGTGGGCTGAAAGTGATTGGGGATGGTGATATTGTATGGAGGAGGTGTCAGTGTGTGTATGGGGATGATAGTGTGTGTGGCTGTGACAGTGTGTGTGTGTGGGGAGGTGACAGGGTGCGTGTGTGAGGGGGCTATGACATGGTGGGGATGACTGTGACAAGGTGTGGGTGGGGGGGCTGTGAGAAGGTAGATGGGCTGTAAAAAAGGTGTAGGGTCTGTGAGAGAGTAGGGGGCCGTGTGGTGGGTAGGGGGACTGTGAGTAGGTAGGGGTTCAGTAAGTGGGTATGGGGGGTTGTAAGGTGGGTGGGGGTCTGTGAGTGGATAGGGAGACTGAGTGGGTAGGGGGGCTGTGAGTAGGTAGGGGTTCTGTAAGGTGGTTCTGTGAGAGGGTAGGTGACTGTAAGGTCAGTAGGGGGCTGTATGGTGGGTAGGGGCTCTGTAAGGTGGGTAAGGGGACTGTGAGTAGATATGGGGGACTGTGAGTGGGTAGGGAGACTGAGTGGATAGGGTGGCTGTATGGTAGGTAGGGGGGCTCACTGACTGACAGACACACACACACACTCATTCACACACTCATTCACTCACACATTCACTGACAGATAAATACACACACATTTCCCCCAACACTCAAAGATTTTTTTTTTTTTAAATTTAAATCCACCCAGCCTACCTTTGGGAGAGCTGGTGGATTTTTTATCTGGCGTCCAGTGGGGCTGCTGTTTGGGCAGGAAGGAAGGCAGGCTGGCGGTCAGTTGAGGTCCAGGCGGGTGACAAGGGAGCGCTGATTTGTGAGCTCTCCCTCCTCAGCTCCCTCCCGAGGCACAAGTCCTGCTGAACTACTAACAGGAACGGCATTCCTGCTGTAGAAAAAGCGCAGGAACACCGTTCCCACTCGAGCCTTGCTCTCTTCTCTGTCTGTAAGGTGAAGAGATTTTCCAACTCTAATTCTCTCAGGCATGCCCACTTTTCCAGCATTCCGAGGGATAGGCTACTGATTGGTTAGATGAGGGTCCACCCTGGTGTGGGTGTGGAAAGCGTAAACATTTAAGAAACAAAACTCACATTAACTTTTTTTCAGCCTGCAGAGTGAGGCAACTGTGTCATTCAAAGCTAAAACTTTTGAATGAGACAGTTGTCTCAAAGTGATGCATATCCCTTTAACACTATCATCTCCTCAGCCCTCTCAAATTTTATAGGCAGGGTTATTCAGTAAAGTGTGAAATTGCAGAATGTAATCTTAAATAGGCAAACTGTGACAACAGGCAAGCTGGAGAATGTTTCCAGATCAGCTATTTTTACCTACATTCTGCAATTCTGATTTTCAATTTGTCATACGTAATTCACCATTTAGTGAATAAACCTCTATATGCCTATTTACAACTGATGAAATGTATTACAGATGATTTCTGGGAAATATGTTTCCCATTTTTATTAGTAAATGATTTACAGACACAATTTAAGACTGGGATATCTCCAAATGTGTTCTGAACTTGTGGAGTGAATGAGTCACAGAGACAAGCTCAAGTTTCCCTTAATTAAAGGATATTATGATCTAAGGGTATAGAAGAACCATTTTAGTGTCGATTTACCTTAAAATAGATATTGTCTTATCAAATCATGGTAAATTCCATCCAATGAGTCAAGCTGAAAGTATGTGCCACAATATGTAAAAATTGCATAGGTTTTCCCCAAACCCTAACAAGCGGCAGAAGCAGTAGAGGCTTGCCTTCAGCTCTACGCCAGGATGGGGTGCTGGCCCTTAGGTTTAAAGATAGGAAAGCTGTCTATAATGCCTAACAAAAATGCAGTGCCAGTGTCTGTCAGAGGAAGAACTGAGCAGTACATTGTAAACTAATGCAAGTATAGAGTAAGTACAGAAAAAAAGTGGCCACATGTAGAAATCCCAGATATCACAAGAGAAACATGGCGGTTCCCCAGATTCTGCGCTCCCCAAGCCCAGTATGGTGTATAAGCAGACGCCTGTTCTCCACTAAGCCCTCCATCTGCCATTATAGGACTAAGGTCATGCAAGACTCCCACTCCACAAACCGTCCCACTGGATTGTGAGTGGCTGATGGGTTTGTCGTTCATCTTGGCTCTCGGCCCAGAAGAGGAGCAGTGCCTTAAATCGCCACTGGAGGCCTCTGCTAGAGTGATTTGTAGATTAAAGAAACATTCCAATGTTTAAAACAGTTATTTAGTTTTAATGTTTGGGGTGTTCCAGTTATCCTATCAGTGCTAGACAGCAACTAAAACTGAAAAATAAAGATGACTTTTTATCTAGTGGTAAGTCTCTTATTGCTTCTGCTCCGCTTTGTACCGGGGAGACGATCCGTGATGACAATCTCCATTTCCTGTCTAGAGAAAATTGGCATATGCGTGGTGATTGCCCAGGAGAATTCCTATGGAAGCTCTTCACTACCGATTGAATAACCGTTCAAGCATAGTGAACCAGAAAGCCTTTCTGGCTATCAGCTTGATTTCCAGGAGTGTTTCCTAATTAATTCATAAAAGTTCTGAATTCTCTTAAAATGGGACAAGGTGGGCAGGTAATCAACCTCTCAAGCATTTCATCAACCTCGCCAGGATTTGTGATGTTATCCATTATTACAGAGTCCGCTAAGGTGGTGATGTCTTCCTGGGGTAGTCTGTTAGTATGCCCATGACCCATTACAGAGCATCTTATTTGAAATTTTTCAAGATGATTTATGTCCCTTAAAGCCATAGACCTTGACACAGATCAGCTAAACTTTATTAAGGCTGGAAGAGGAATTTCATTAGACAATTGTACTAATAGTATGCATCAACGTGTCTCCATCGTTTCTCTCCTTCCTTTATGATTTCCTACTTGGGTGTTTTTCACTTGATTTCTAGGAACTCATTGTGCATCTATTGTATCTGTTTCTAGCTTTGAAATAACAGAACTCAAAATCTCATGTACTTAATGGAGAAGCTCATATCGAAGAAATCATTCTTGGGTAGCTTTTTGAACTTTAAAGGGAAGCTGTAGGGTTTTCTCTATTTCTGTCTTTCTGTTTCTTAAACAAATATGCCTTCATAATAATAATAATAAAAAAAACCTTCTAAGTGGGAGTATCTTGTACAGCAAATCCATTGGCTCTTTCCTTCCTGCAGTCACATACTCGTACATTAGGAATGATGTTACTTTTTTGACACGTCAGGGGGCATGGCTAAGCCACAAGGAGTGACACATCAGGACATGGATTGCTGGGCAACCATCTAGCTTTAATTGGGCACATTGCAAGGCACTGTGGATAGGGCACATAGCTTGGATTATATTCTAGAGCTAGTCTGATAATTAACAAACATGGCAGAACGGAAGCATTGTCTGACTCTGCTATGTTTTCTTCTTAGTTATTCTTAGGCATATAGAGATCTGTAGTGGTTATGGTGCTTGCATTGTTACTTTAATAATGCGCTTAAGCAGTTCAGAAAATGTAATTTACCGATTTGGTCTACTAAATTACTAGCAAGTACAGATAAAACAATATTTAAATTATATATTTATATATATGTGTGTGTGTATATATATATATATATTTTTTTTTTTTTTATTAATTATTCAATGACATAGTAGTAAATATAAGGAAACAGTTGATGCCCGTATAACTACGAGCAGGAGTTATTGGGGTAAATTTATCTCCCCTTGAAAAAAAATGGAATTACTAAGATTGGCTCATTGATGTGAGCTACTTCCTGGTTTGGGACCTTAAACCTTTAAGTATAATGAAACAAACAATGTTTTTAAACACTATTCTGAACACTGGAAGGAAGTCATCAAATATATATATAAGATTGTCACTCCATATTCATAATGTGGGATCACATTCCTGGTGCTGGTCCGGTAGTTACATTAGTAAAAACTTGACCCTCCCCCCCAAAAAAGACAACACACAGTAAATTCAGACAAATTCAGTGAGGCAAATCCTTGATTGTACGGGTTTATTCATACATTGCACAATGGTTAATGTATATTCATACATTGCATAACATGGTTAAAAGAAAACAGACCTTATATGTGAAAATGGACTACGTGATGAAAACACAAAAGTGTAAATAAAGAAAAAAAAATTATACAAATAGTACAAAACCCAAATCCATACAACTGTATGAAGTAGGCATGGGCAAAAAATTTGGTTTGGCACATCCGAAATTCGGGACTTCGGCAATTCAGGACTTCGGCACTTCCGAAATTAGGGACTGTGGGAAATCCCTAACCCTTACCCCAACCTTCCTCTAACCCTAACCCAACTAGGGTTAGAGGTAGGGTTAGAGGAAGGTTGGGGTAAGGGTCAGTGGCAGGGTTAGAGGAAGGTTGAGGTAAGGGTTAGTGGTAGGGTTAGGAGTAGGGTTAGAGAAAGGTTGGGATAAGGGGTAGGGTTAGTGGTAGGGTTAGAGGAAGGTTGGGTCCCTTAATTTTCCTTCCCCCTCCTGTTTTGCCACTTTTCAGAAATCCGAAGCAATTCGGTTCGGCACATCTAAAATTCAGCAATTCGACACTTTGGCAATTTGGTTCGGCACTTCTGAATTTCGGCACTTCAAACATTCGTATGTCCAAATTGCCAAAATTCATCCGAATTTAAATTCGGACCGAAACAAATTGCACATGTCTTGTATGAAGACTTAGTGTATTTGAAACACTTAAGGGAGGAGAAAAAGGAAACAAACATCCCATTCTGATTTAGTTAAATATAATACACAATGATACCCTTTGGGTAACCTGCACCGTTATCATCAAAAACAAATATATAAAGGGATTAATTATTGGTATTTTCAAAATACTTTTTTGGGGCAATTAATATCCTTTTCATTTTATATGAAACGTAAATGAAGTTCCTAAACCTTTTTGTCTTTTAAATACACTGAGTGTTACATTTCTTAATGTTAACAAAGCGTCTGTTATACATGCAAATCACGTCCAGTATCCTTCTAGGTTTTGTTTTATATTTATTTATAACCCCACCCCCTTCATACAGGTGTTTGGATTTTAGTTTTTGTACTATTTGTATATATTTTTCTTTATTTTGCAGGTTTTTTTTGTTTCATCACCTGGTCCATTTTCACAAATAAGGCATGTTGTTTTTTTTAACCATGTTGTGTAACGTATGAATATACCCGAACAATCAATGATCATTGCACAACTCTGTTTTTTTCCTTACCTATTTTGGATTTAAATTTCCAATTCCATTACCAAATCTCCACATCTCACAGTTTAGTGCATAGGTTCTCAAATTATGTTTGCTTTTAGACCGGGCGAATGGCCTTTATGAATATTACTCCTGGATACTATAATGGGCAAACTATGGTTTACATATTGTCAGGATAAAATACATTTCTGTAAGTCTGAGATATGAAATCTGATTTCTTGATAATCTAATTACCCTGATTACCTACATTTCCTGCATTTCAGAATGTCTGATTTACTGGAATCAGGGGTGGGTCCAGAGCCTAAACCTGTGAAGGGCACAGTCAGGCTTTTGGATGTTACAATATCTAGAAAACAAATTATATTTATGGGTCTCATACAAACACTTTACATATTGCTGTTTTTAATAATAGTAACAAAAACAACAACATTACAAGACATTAATTATTCAATTAATACACATTTCTCGTTCACCAAATAAAAATATCTTTCCATTTTCCCTTGGTAAGAGATTTAACTAATAATTTCTGCCCACGAAGGAAATTTAGATTTTTGCCATTCTCTTGCAATATATAATTTAATAGCTCGCAATATTTTAGTTGACAAAATAAGAGCATTTTCTATTTCCTTTAGGGAGTTCCAAATGGAAAATCCAGATACTAGAATCAAGGAAAATTCTTTTTAAAAATAAAATTCTATATTTTAATTGTTTCATATTTGATTCCCTGTGATTTTGTGCAATCCCAGTAATAATAAATAGTAAAACAAAATCAAAATACATGGAACCCTCCTTACTAACGTAGGTTTGTCACTAAATGGGGGTGCATGGAGATATGTAGAGTACTCCAGAGTTTGAATACAGAACTGACTAGTGCAATAAGGAAGATCTAGGGGAGCGGCCGCAGAAGATCCACAGTAGTGAACTGGGCGGTAAATACCCTGGGTTAGCTCCGTTGGTGGGGAAGTTATCCCATGGCAGCCCCCCCATTAGGAATGAAGCCAAGGGGATGATGCAGTACAAAACAATATTTACCACAGAAATATAAATTTAGAAGAAAAAAAATTGTTGTTGCAGTCCTAGTCCGTAGGGGTTAAAATTAACTAGGATGGGGGGGCGGAGCCAGCTCTCGGCATGAACGGTCGCACTTCTCCTGCTCTCTGCCGACCGCAGCCCAAAACCGGACGAATAAGACCCCAAAAGCCTTCCCTTCTGGTAACAGACGGCCTGCAACTACTCCCCCTGATATGGGGAGAAAGACCAAAAAGCCGCGGCCCGATCGCCCGCGATTTACGGCCGATATCGGCGATTTACTGAGGAGGCCGCATGGCGCGGCGGCGCCCAACATGGCGGCCGAATATGAAGATTTCTCAGAAAGCTCGGACGACACATCCCTCCACTGCCCTGAGACACTGGGGTACAAGGGACCTCCTAAACTCAAACAACAGCCGATGAGCTCCCCAATCACTACGGAGATTCTTACCTCTCTCCTGACTGACCTACGCCAGTCGCTCTCTGCAGAGATCTCCCTGGTAAGGGAGGATGTAAAGGGGTTCACTGATCGCCTCTCAGCAGTGGAGCAATCCACCCAGGCACAAACAGCACAAATAACAGAGCTGCAGAATCAGGTCAAAGACCTCTCCTCAGCCCACATCACACTCACCCACCAACTAGCAGCAATGGAAGACAAAAGGATGTTAAAATCAGAGGCCTCTCAGACGCAATTGCCCCAGCCGAACTTCCCCACCTACTCAGAAGGCTTTTCACAGCCCTCCTGTCCCCCAAACAAGCTAAAGGGGTGCAGCTAGATGGCATGTTCCGCTTACCCAAGCCGACACAACTTGCAAATTCAGCGACAAGTGACCTTCTGGTCAAATTTCAAAATGGGCAAGACAAAACTGCCTTAATGGGCTCCATCAGGGGACAAAATCCATACCGCTTTGAGGACATGGACTTAACGTTCTATTCCGACCTCTCACGCACAACACTGCAATGGCGGAAATCTCTCCGACCACTTACAGCGGCATTGACGGCTAAGGGAGTGAAGTATCGCTGGGGACCATCACACATACTCCTCATCCAACACCAAGGCAAGGAATATAAAGCGACGGACGTCGCAGAAATGGACACTGTCTTGACCGACATGGGACTACGGCCATCTTCAACCGCTACAACCTGGGATCCGACTAAAGTTGTCCCATTTGTTCCAGCATCCAGGGGAACGCTTGGAGAGCAGACTACCTGAACCGGGACTTTTGAGTTACTCTTGTTTTGCTTTTTGTTTTGTTCTAATGTTCTCCCTCTTATACACACCGCTGTAAACGTACAAGTTTACTCCCAGGGCATAGGCCCTATTGAGGGGTAACCCAGAAACCCCTACACACACATAGCAGGATTGCTATACGGCTTTTATTTGCCGCCGAACCGGGCAGAACCCGGACTAATTGGCTCCCTTTAATACCAAAACCCCCCCCAGCTCCAACGCATTTACTCTACCACGAGATCACTAATTAGGAGCTACACAAATACACTACCAGGTTGCACGTCAGTATCCTCTTTTATCCTCTCACTCACACGACAATCTAGGCTGTACACAGCCCTCTCTGTCCACAAGGCCTTACGACCTTACACACGGCCTATAGCTGGAATTTCTAACTGATCCACAACACGGGCGTATTAACATACTCCCTCAGAACACAGGGTCCCATCTCACTTTTGACTCAAGAGGCACATAAGCATGCACCTTGCCTTCCACTGTAGGCATACTCCAGTCCATGAGCATATACGCCGACACTAACCATACGACCAGGATTGAAATTGCTCTTTTTCTATCCTATTTTCAGTGGCTGCATTATGTTGAATCTTTTATATAACCTTTTTAAAAAATTGTGCCGATACTCACATGCCATGCTATTGTTATACTATTCTATTGATTGCAGCTTGCTATAGCTGTCGTGGCTATGCAAGCGTATTGTTTAGGTATGCACTACCAAAACAAAGAATTTATAAAAAAAAAAAAAATTAACTAGGATGTAAGCCAGAGATCCAAAAGGAAAAGGCAAAATGTATTTACAGCAAAGCCATTGGAGCCAGTCTCAGCCGACAGTGATCTGTTGTGTGCAGGAAGGGTGGCACCACCTCAACATCCCTACGCGAATGGCCTGGTGATGCACGGCTTTGTGAATTCACTGCAGAGAGGCTCAGTGCCTGCAGGAAGATCGCAGTCTCTGCATCTGTAAGCCTATGGAGGGTGAAATCTTTTGTAACTTGTATGGAGCGTGGATACCCCATCTGTAAGGGACTCAGTGTCCCTGGAGTAAGCAGGAGGAAACGTCTCTGATGTAGTGTAATTTGGGACACATCAGTGTAGAAAGTAAAGGTATGAGATTCAAATTTACATGTGAAGGTGCCACGTACTGCAGGGAGGACCATCATCCTCTCAAGTGAGGATACGAACTGTACAATGAGGTCTAGCGATCATAGCCATCCAGGATTATAGCTTTGGATTTCTTAAGCGGCTGTAGGTTTGGGAACAGGCCGTGTAGGTAGTCAGGTAGCTTGGCCGCAGCCACTTCCTCTGGGACGCCTCTGAGTTTGACCTTGTTGGGTTGACTTCTTAAGCGGCTGTAGGTTTGGGAACAGGCGGTGTAGGTAGTCAGGTAGCTTGGCCGCAGCCACCTCCTCTGGGATGCTGTTGTTGGATTGACTTCTGTCCTCCTGATCTGCCAATTTTGCTTCTATTCCCTTGCGAGCCTGCTTTATCTTTGCATGGGACTCCTACATTGCGACCTGTTTGGTCTTAATCTCAACGGCCTGCTCCTCCGTCACCCTGATCCTGTCTGTAAGGGAGTGGATGTCCTCCTGAATTATCGATAAGTCGGCATGGAACAGACAGTGTAAATCCTTCAATAGGCACTTGATAACCTGCTTGGTGGCTGAGGTTTTGGCCTCTTTTTCCAAGGATGAGTGGTGCAAGCCACTTTTTTAAGTTGTCTAGAGCATCTAAGGGAGATTTGTCTTCCAAAGAAGACTCTGTGACCGAGACAGCCATCTTGGGCGCACCACTCAGTACTCTTTTGATCAGGAAATCCCCTATATCTCTGGAACCATGCTCCGGGTGGGTATTGTGCTTTGCGTACATTTCCCCATGTTGAGACAGAGCAGTAGGTATTTTTTCTGCCGTTTTTTTCCAGGTGATGAGCGGTAAAAGGACAAAAGGATAATGGTTCAGCGCTAAATAATCTAAAAGAAACTAAAATAAAGTGTAAAAGCAGCAACCTATAGGAATGAGGTCCCTCAACAAGCCTCACATGGAATAGGATAGACAAAAATGGGTATATAGGTCGCGCTAAAGGGACAGGTAGGTAAAATAAATGGAATAAATAAATATGATAAAAAAAAGTCCCAAATAGTAGATAAACCTGTATTGTTCTTAGATGAATATAAAGTCCAAATGGATATCTGAATCTTCTTATGTTGGAGATGTCTTGATTCGCTTGTCAATATGTGGATACATAAAAGAGATAAAAAAGAACTCCAATAGTGTAGGATGTCGACAAAATTTCCAGATGTAAGTCTGTGAGTAGGTAAAGGACTAACCTTGGCATGAGCAAAAAAACTTGCTCAAGTATTCTTAGCGTTCAGTGGCGTCAATCCCCCACTGGTCGGATATAGGTGATGAAGTCCTGAGTAATTCCTCGATATGTAAAGAGATGGGAGACGTATATAGTGCTCACTGAATTATATTAAAACAGATAAAATGGTAGAATACTCACATGTATATGAGCAGGAACTACTGCTCAGTATGGTAGTGCGGGTGGTACAATCCCCACCTTAGGATTCTTGGGAAGTAACGTACTTCAATTCAAGTCGGTGACCTGGTAATTCAAATTAAAAAGGAAGGAATTAAAAATATATATAGTCAAAAATAAAAGCCGGTATTCAAAACGCGTTTCACCACTCAGGGCTTTATCAAATGGCATTAAAAAGAGAGAAAAACCTGGTACAATAACTGCTTTTATAAACTAAAAAATACAGATAAGCATTTGAATTTTGGCACCAAAATGACGTCACGCATAAAATATGCATAGTTTAAATGAGCGGTAAAAAGCTTGAGTGAATGCTTATTCGTACAGAGTTCTTGCTGAAAATGTCTATAGTTCCGCCCACCCATGAAGTAATTTATAATAGGTCCACCTATCATACCAACTCTGGATTGGAGTAGTGATCTTTAAATCATCTTCCCATTTTGAAATTAAATAAGTTGCAACAAAATCTTGATGACTAACAATTAACTTTTTTTTTACAAATAGAACAGGCTGCTTATGCAATAAAAAATTTTTTTTTTAAGTTTTTAATTCTGAGATAAGAGAAATGTCTCTATTTGAGAGTTAAAATGTAGACAGAATTTCATTAAATGTAAGCATATTACCATTACATCATATATTTGCTAAAGTAAAAAGAATTCTGTATTAGTCAACCCAGATATATCACTGTCCTGTCAATAATATTTAAGGACCATAATAGGATTAGCAGATGAGAAGTCATTTTAGATTCCCAGCCTTGATATGATCACAGTCCCCCGGTCTTCTCCAGTCCCTTCAATAATGGGTTATTAACTATAAAATTACTTAAATGACCACTATAGTGCCAGGAAAACAAACTCGTTTACCGGGCACTATAGTGCCCTGAGGGTGCACCCACCCTCAGGGTCCCACTCCCGCTGGGCTGAAGGGGGAGGAAGTGGGTTAAACACTCACCTTTCTCCAGCGCCGGGCTCCCTCCTTCCGACGTCATCAGCTGAATGCTAAAATAATAAAAAATAATATAAAAAAGGTATATGGCATAGGCAGAGTATTTAGGGCCAATATTCCTTTAATGATATGAAATAAAAAGAGTAAGAACAGTAAAAAAAACAGCCAAAACGTGTTTCGCCAGACAGGGCTTTATCAAATGGCAATAAAAACATGGTAGTGGTGATAGCTGCTCGGACCATGATAAAGTCTATGGCATGTGTCCGAGGCTTTAAGGGAAATAATACCTCCCAATCCACTTTGAAGGACTGGAAGGACGTCTCTCAGGCATGAGAATGACTGGCTCAGAATAAGCAGGTTCCGGGGCTGGGCGCACTGTGCCTTTAAGGATCAGAACTTCATGCTGCAGCTCCGAAACAGTCTGGGCCAGGCTGGATACTTGTTGAGCAAGGGAGGTGAGCAGCTTACACATCTCTGCAGACTCCATGATGGTCAGTTCTTTATGTCACGGCTTACCTTGGTTGGAGTCTGTAGCACAGATATGTTCACTCACCCTTGCAGATAAAAACGGTCCAAGGTGACCAGGTAAGAAGCCACCTGGACTGTGAATCTGTGCACGGGGGCTGAGCAGACAAAGTGCTTCAATACGCAGTACAGACAAGGTCACAAGCAGAAGGATAGTCAGGGGAAAGCCGAAGTAAGAGGAAGCCAGAGGTCACGATAAATGGAGAGTGGAGCCAAGGTCAGAAGCCAGGTTTTATCTGGAGAACAAGTTCAGGAGACAAGAAAACAGGAACAGGAACAGGAACGTTCCCAGGGCGGGGCAGTGCCTAAATTCCCGGTTGATAAGCAATTTGCCTCAGGTGAAGCACAGTTAATAGCCACAGAGGAAGTCCAGCTCCCAGTGCTACTAACATAGCCAGGTTTAACAAGGATAGAATTACTCAAAAATAACAGAACCTGCTGTGGCTTAGAGGCAGTATAGCAGGCCCAGGACAAGAAGGACCCAGGTTCAAATCCCCTGTCTGGCACCTGTGGGGCACCATGCCTGGCCGTCCAGATTTCACAGTGAGAACCGTTACACAAGGAAGTTATGTAGAAGAGGATAAAGGTCTAGCTGACTGCCTCAATTAATATTTTTGTTCAGTATTTACAATTGAAAATGAAGGAAAGGGCCCTCAGTTAGGAAAAATGACAAATTAGTAATTTGTTACATGTGAGTTTACAGAGGAAGAGGTTCTATTTCAACTGTCAAAAGTAAAGACAAATAAGTCAATGGGGCCTGATGGAATACACCCAAAGTTATTGAAAGAGCTTTGTGGTGTACTTGCAAAACCTTTAACAGATTTTTTTAACCAATCATTGTTAACAGGAGTAGTCCCAGAAGATTGGAAGTTAGCAAATGTTGTGCCCATTCACTAGAAAGGTAGGGAGGAGTCGGGCAACTATGGAGTCTGGCAACTATAGACCAGTAAGCCTTACTTTAGTAGTGGGGAAAAGTAATGGAAACCATGTTAAAGGATAGGATTGTTAAACATCTAAAATCACATGGATTTCAAGATCAGAGACATCATGGGTTAACTTCAGCTAGATCATGCCAAACTAATCTTATTTTTGATTGGGTAACTAAAATAATAGATCAGGGTGGTGCAGTAGACATTGCTTACCTAGATTTCAGTAAGGCTTTTGACACTTTTGCACATAGAAGGCTTGTCAATAAACTGCAATCTTTAAGTTTGGATTCCAATATTGATGATACAGGTATTCAATAGGGCCCCGACATTGGATCCATGGGTGTATCTACTCAATAGACCCATAGAGGGATGGACTAGGATGGAGCAAAAACGTATTCACAAGATCACCCTGGGCGCGCGTTGGACGATAGCAGCTTCATGGCTAGCACAGGGATGCACGAGTTTCGCAGGGATCCTCCCCAGCATTACAGAGAGCAAACTGATGGATGACTTAACTGCTATAGTATAGAACACATGCATTGCTTGACCTCCCCAGGAACATTCACACATGTACAAAGCCGGGCCTAATGGAAGTATAGCCATGAGGACGCATTGGCCTCACCCCCTCCCCTCGAGCTCTCTCCCCGGCATCAGTACATATGACATGGCACAGTTGACATTACGAGCTTAACCCTCACCTCCCTTCCCCCTCCCCCCTGTATCATTCTCTCTCTCCTCTCTTCTTCTTTACTCTGTTTCTCCCCTTATCTCAGGGGCACGATCATTAGAAAACGAGAACGCTGTATACCAGGCTCGCAAAATAATGGTGACGTGTAGATGATCAAAAAACCTCTGATTATGGTGGCAAATCGGCTCATTTTGGTAACCTTCTCTAGATTTGGATGTTGATTCAAGACACATACAAGGCATGTAAATGTTGCTAGTTTAGTATATACTTCATACAAAAAACAAAGTGCACAACTTATATACACCTGTTAAGAGAAGCTTTATGTACAAATCTGTATGTTTGTTAGTGTGTACGGTTGTATTTGTATCACCATTGCAAAAAAAAAAAAAGGATTTATTTTGAATTACTTTTTCTAAGCTGGACATATTATGCACCCGCTGTTATTGCCAAAACTGAATTTTTTAATTTTTTTTTATAATTAATGAGAATGTATCAAATTAAAGCCCCGTTTGCCCTCTAAAAAAACGATATATGTGTTGATGCAATAAATGACAGAGATGCAAATTGCGTTTGAACACAAACAGCAAAAAATTCAAAAATGGCTTGTGTCCTTAAGCGTAATACAAGCTTCTGAAGCTGTGTCCTTAAAGGGTTAAACAAATTGAAAGAGAACCAGAAAACATGTCTGAGTGTGGCACTTTGTTTTGATGCCATGTTTTGATTTTGTGTTTATGTTCCAGTGAATTGTAAAAATGAAACATCAATATATAGCTTTGCTACTTTGAGTTAAATCTCAACCTTCACGCATGGGGTCTCCCTAATACCGCAGTACCTGTTTTATGTTTTAGAGTAATGTAGATATGTTAATAAATGATGGGAATGCAAATTAAGGCATGTCTGACTTCATAAACATGACCTGTCACAAAAAACATTTTACTTTAGAACATGAAAAACTAGATTTTTTTTTTTATAGCGCAGTAGGCTGTTTCTTCCATTTTTATACATTCTGTACTGTATTTGCGTGACTGACATTGCTATATCAGCACATATTCACAGTGAATACTTGCCTTTGGCCAGTAAATTCAAGAATGTATATATCGTACACCGTACATGCTGATAACAGCGTGTTCCAAGTATAATAAACAAAGCTTAGATCTAATTATCACTGGTAATAGAAATTATTGAACAGTTACATTGTTTTAATTATATTTTTTATTCTTTCTATTATGCAGCATTTTGGGGATTTCTGTTCCTTTAAAGCAGCACAGTCACCATCTGGACAGGTTACAGAGTTCACAAAGACATCGCTGCTGGGAGTCCAGTGGCCGGGTGGATCAGGTAAAGGTGAGTTTTACTTTTATGAATCTGTCACTTGCAAGCAGAGCCATCTTCTTCCAGTGGGTCCTCTTCAGCTGACAGTAGCCAATGTCACTGATGTACTCTTACCCATGCGTGAGGATACAGCATTGAGGTCTATGGAGGATCCCGTGAGACCCTCCATAGACAGAGCCAATTCACAGCAATTTTAGGATTGTTTGACTTCTTACCTAGGGTCTGCTCACTGCCTTCACTCCAGCCAACAGAAATCCAGAACCTGATTCTCTGGAGAGCTAACAGAAGTAAGAGCTTCTGTGTCTCTGTCGAATGTAGTGTAGGCAGTGCGTGGCTCCCAGCAGATCCCCGGCAAGAAGTCAAACAGTTCTAATACAGTTTGCGTAATTACAATGGAGGTTGCCAGGAACTCCTGACACCATAACTACTACCGTGTGCTGAGCCTCCTGGATTTACTCCAAGGCTAAATCTATGAACTTTGATTCCCAGGAATAAAATATTTAAATAGACCATCTCAATGAGGATGCTGAACCT